CCTTCTATCCTTCATTACCAGCGAAACGCCAGCGGATTCAACAGGGCCGATTTCTAAATCAATACGTAGGAAATTAAGCAAGAGTTTGTTTTACACACACCTTCCTTGTAAGACAAAGCAAAATTATGGCCTTCCAAAGTCCAATTGATCAGGAGAAAAATGTTGTAAAACACAACACAAGACACCGGTGCCACAGCATACCTGACTCCCATTTTATATCCGTAATAAAAGCGTATTTCTCAGCAGTTCTTGAAATAAAATGCCCACTGAAGGCTGCTCACTGCCTAGCATTGCATTTTACGAAACCCTAAAACTTTTCATTCTTAATTACACAGATCTCACACAATTTGTATACCATAATCGCCTAATGATTTTCCCACATGAACCTTTCAAAAGCACTCTGAATCCCAGGTTAAGAACCATTGTAAACTAACATTTGCAGGAAGTCCTCGATTTACGACCACGATCGAGCCCAAACTTTCTGTCACTAAGCTAAACATTCATGAAATGTATTTCCCCCCCATTTTACGACCTTTCTTGCCACAGTTGTTAAATGAATCACTGCAGTTGTTAAGTTAGTAACCCGGTTGTTAAGTGAATTTGTCAGCAGGTCGCAAAAGGGGATCGCCAGGACATGGCAACCGTCATAAATATGAGCCAGTTGCCAAGCAGTTGAATTTTGATCATTGTGGTGATGCTGCGACGGTCACAAAAGTGTGAAAAGCGGTTGTAAGTCGCTTTTTTCAGTACCGTTGTAACTTCCAACCATCGCTAAACAAATGGTTGTACGTTGAGGACTCCCAGAAAATGCTGTGGTTGGCCTACACTGGAAGGTTGTTGTAAGACAGTATTTCTCAACTTTGATAAGTTGAACATGGCTGGGGAAATTCTGGCAATTGAAGTCCACATGGCTTAAAACTGCCAAGGTTGCAAGCGTCCAAATTTCATTCACGCGACCGTCAGGATCCTGTGACGGTCATAAGTGTGAAAAACAGTCACAAGCAGGACTGAAATCCAGCAGGTTCTAACAGGTTCTGGAGAACCAGTAACGGAAATTTTGAGTAGTTTGGAGAACCGGCAAATACCACCTCTGGTTGGCCCCAGGAGGGGAGGGAATGGAGATTTTGCAGTATCCTTCCCCTGGAGTGGGGTGGGAATGGAGATTTTGCAATATCCTTCCCCTGCCACGCCCACAAAACTGATAGGGAAAAATTGTGGATTTCACCCCTGGTCACAAGTCCCCCTTTTCAGTGCCGCTGTAACTTCGAATGGTCTCTAAATGAACTGTTGTAAGTTCATTTTACCCGCACGAGAAGGCTGTGCCTTATTTGTGCTTGTGAAAAGTAACACAATCCTAAAAACGCAGAAGCAACGACAAAAGTGCATTGATTTTTCCCCCCCCAGGACTCTATTTTGGTGTTACTGGAGGCAGGAGACTAGAATAGCTATTTCATAAATTAAAACGAGGAGATATCCTGTTACAGTAATACGCCCGACGTTACCATTTAATATAATATTATTTTTCAAAGCAGATGTAATATCTCCTTTGAGGCCAGTGGATAATGGAGATAAAACCATTGTAGGGATTGCTAATTGGCCATAGAGACTCCGTACAATAAAGAGACATCTGTTACTGGATGTAGAACAACGATGGGAAAAAAAAAATTCAGACAAAATATTAACAGGTAGGGGCATCCCATTGACACAAAGGTGTGTAAGTTGTAACATATGGGTGTGAAATCTGGACTATCAGAAAGTCTGAGGAAAAAACAAGTTAACGGCTCTGAATTGTGGTGCTTGAGAACATTATACAGATATTCCTCAACTTACGACCACAACTGAGCCACTGTGGTGAGACATTTGCTAAGTATCTATCTACCTATCTATCTATCTATCATCTATCTATCTATCATCTATCTATCTATCTATCTATCTATTTATCTATCTATCTATCTATCATCTATCTCTCTATCTCTCTATCATCTATCTCCATCTATCAACCTACCATCTCTATCTACTCTATCTATCTATCTATCTATCTATCTATCTATCTATCTATCTATCATCTATCTATCTATCTATCTATCTATCTATCTATCTATCTATCGTTATTGACTGATTAGGCCTTGGGCCACATCAAAGTGCAGAGTTCCAGAAACAAATTATTACTAAAATTTGATAAAAGCCATTTAAAATGGAATTGGATAAAATACAATTTAAAATGAAATTGGAATAACATTTGATCCGGCTTCCTCCCGTTGACTTTGCTGCTCAGAAGGCGGCAAATGGAGATCAATGACTGTGACCGTCATAAATATAAGTCAGTGGCCAAGCATCTGAATTTTGATGACATGGGGATGCTGGAACGGTCGTAAGTGTGGAAAAAAACTATCGTTAAGTCACTTTTTTCAGTGCCATGGTGACTTCAAAGGAGCACTCAATGAACTGTTGTAAATTGAGGATTACCTGTAGAAAGTACTTTAGACAGCAAGAGAATCCAACCAGCCAATAGTAAACAAAGTACTACCAGGTTGCTCACTGGATGTCAGGTGTGAAAGGCCAAGTCTACACCCGAAGCAGCTGCTAGGAGTTAGATAAGGGTCAAAGGAATTCAAGGGAGTCTGAGCTTAATCTGCTTGTGACTACGTAGGGATTCTAGGCTAATGCCTCTCTTGACTCCGCCCCCAGTTTCTGTAACTCCTCCTACACTGGAAGCTCTAAGCTCAAGTTGAAATATTTTGGTACGTTAACATTAAAGATAAAGAAGATACAGAATAGTTTCTAACTTGGGATTTGTTTTATCAACTGTTAGATAATAAAGGTGGACATTAAAAATTGGAAGAGCATTATTATACACAAGTAAAGAATATTATTATGACTAGAATTACGTATATGCAAAATGACCCAGAAAATACACTGTTTACTAAATACTTATACAGTATATGTTAAAGAAAAATGTATAAATAAAATTAAAAAAAAATGCTGAAATGTTTTGGCTACGAAGACAAGTGTCACTGAAGAAGACCCTGAGAAAATATGAAGGGCAAATGGAAGAAGAAGCCAGACACTGCGACCGTCATAAATATGAGTCAGTCAACAAGCAGCTGAATTCTGATCACTGGGGATGCTGCAACGGTCATAAGTGTGAAAAATGGGTATGTCACTTTTTTCCTGGCATGATTGTAACTCCGAACGGTCACTACTACATGAACTGTGTGATAAGTCAAGGACTTCATGGATTTTCCTCTCTCCCCCCCCCTTTTCTTTGCCCTTTCTATTTTTTATTTTTTTATTGCAGGCGATATTAGCTTTTCCATGTATCGCTGTGATGCTGAATAAAATTGCTATTTAGAAAACAAAGAAAGACGGAGGAGGACAAGGAGATAAAATCACAATAGTAAAAATCAACCAGCAATTTATCGATATGTCTTTCAAATTTCAATTAGGCAAACCAGAGATAGTCCTTGAATAACAACAGTTCGTTTAATGACCGTTTGAAGTCACAATGGCACTGAAAAATGTGACTTACGACCGTTTTTCACACTTACGACCATTGCAGCATCCCCCATGGTCACATCATCAAAATTCAGACGCTTGGCAACTGACTCTTATTTATGACCGTTACTGTGTTCCAGGAAATCAATGGGGAAGCCAGATTCACTTCACAACCGTGTTACTCACGTAACAATGGCCAGATTCACTTAACGACGGTGGCAAGAAAGGTCGTAAAATGGGGCAGAATTCACTTAACAACTGTCTCTGTTAGCAACAGGACTTTTGGGCTCAACTGCGGTCATAATTCAAGGATCACCCATATAGTATGTCTAATATTTTTCTTCGCCGCTTTCGGACAGCTGACTAAATTTAATTTTTTGCTACAAGAGAGATAAGCAGCAGGGGAAGGCTCGTTGCATGGAGACAACACATTAATCCTTTCGATGGCCGTGGCAGAAATCAAACCAAGAGCGACTCCTTGGAAATTGAATTCCTGTTCTCCAGATGTCAAAGACGTAATACCCCCAATTACACCGACTTCTGCTAAGCGAAGCACGCCAGCAAATATGCAAAATAAATATGGGTTAAGCAAAGAGCTGCAAAATGCACACTCAGCGTTGGTTGCGTTGGTTTTCCGGGTGAGCGACAATTAGCACCATTTGCATCTTTGAACCATTTTTTTAAGCAAATGTTAATAAAAGATATGCTGGCAAGCTGCAAAAATAACAATAGTAATAATATTACTACTTCCTGCAATAACACCAGCAGAAAACTGCAAGAAAACTCTGCTACTCGTACATTTTAAGAAGATTCTTGGTCGATACCTAGGATGCTGGCAGCCACCCATCCGAGCCAGTCAATCATATTTGTGATACATTTTTAAATGTTCCGTTGACTGAGTTGCATGTTTAATGAATAAAAATTATTATTATTAATAATAATAATAATAATAATAATCAGTCAATGATATTTGTGATACATTTTTAAATGTTCCATTGACTGAGTTGCATGTTTAATGAATAAGTTTATAATAATAATAATAATAATAATAATAATAATAATCAGTCAATGATATTTATGATACATTTTTAAATGTTCCGTTGACTGAGTTGCATGTTTAATGAATAAAAATTATAATAATAATAATAATAATAATAATAATAATAATAATCAGTCAATGATATTTATGATACATTTTTAAATGTTCCGTTGACTGAGTTGCATGTTTAATGAATAAAAGTAATTATAATAATATAATAATAATAATAATATAATAATAATAATAAGTCAATGATATTTGTGATTACATTTTTAAATGTTCCGTTGACTGAGTTGCATGTTTAATGAATAAAAGAGATAATAATAAGCCTTTGGAAAGGACTGGCTATCGAAGAGCAGGAAATGCTTCTGGTTGTGCAATTGTCACACACACACACACACACACACACACATCGTTCGCTTCGTCCCAATGTAACGCCTGGAAATGAAGCCCGGTGAAAACCTACCTAAATAAAGTGTCTGTGCTTCTTTGGCATTGCCATTCACATCGTTGCTGTAGTCGGAGATCTTGTAAACCTCCGGATGATAATCTGGAATTTCAGAAAGAAATGAAAGAAATAAGAAAGCAACTCGGAGCAAGGAAACAAAATGAACATTGAGCTCACAACTAGATAGCTATCTCACAAGTTCGTTTTATCTGATGCAAATTGGGGGGAGCCAAGAAAAAGACACACCGAAGCAGCTCTGATTAAAAATAAAAACACAGCGAGTCCTTCAACAGTTCGCTTAGTGTCCATTCCAAGTTACAACAACATTGAAAAAAATACTTATGAACATTTTTCACACTTATGACCGTTGCAACAACCCCATGATCACCTGAACAAAATTGAGATGCTTGGCTACTGACTCATACTTATGACCGTTGCAGTATCCCGGGGTCACGTGATCCCCTTTTTGTGACCTTCTGACAAGCCAAATCAATGGGGAGGCCGGATTCACTTAACAACCACGTTACTCACTTAACAGCGGCAGCGGTTCACTTAACAACGGTGGCAAGGAGGATCGTAAAATGGGGCAAAACTCACTTAACAAATGCCTCGCTTAGCAATGTGCTCAGTTGCGGTCATAAGTCGAGGACGACCTGTATCACATAAACTACGGATGTATTTTATTTGATGGCAAATCAAGAAAAACACCCATGGTGGCAGTTCTCCTTAAAAATAAAAATAAAGCCTTTGACTCAAAATATTTTACATATTTCTGTGTAAAAAGTGTGATGGAGCACCTACAACTTCTGGTGGCAAGCTGTTCCACTGGTTAATTGTTCTCATTTTTAGGAAATTTCTCCTTATTTCTAGATTAGTTTCCACCCATTCCTTCTTGTCCTGCCCTCAGGTGCTTTGGAGAATAATTTGACCCCTTCCTCTTCTTTGGGGCAGCCCCTCAAATATTGGAAGATGCTATCATATCACCCCTGGTCCTTCTTTTCATTAAGAGAGACATCCCCAATTCCTGCAACCGTTCTTCGTATTTTTCACCATGCTTATAAAAACCAGCAGAGTTCTGCAAATCTCCCTTTGCAATAAAACTCAGTGGGAGTCCCAAAGAATCTCTTTGCCTTTTTTTAATTTGGGAAGGTTGCCAACGAGCGTTAACGGGGGCCCAGCTCATCAGTGGAAATTAACAGCAATTTCAAATAAAACTCAGCACACAAGGGCAAAGCCAAGACTTCCTTTCCACCCAAGGAAAAGTACTCAGGTTACTGTTAATTAAATTGGATAATTAACAGCAACACGAACGAGACACAAAGGAGAATTATGACAGGCAGAGCTTTTTTTTATTCTTCCTTTGGAATTTTGTTTCTGGCTGCAGGCTGCAGTGGTTACGTTAAACTTTCAGCGTTTTTAAAAAAGATGCGGGGGTCTGTTATTATAACTCATATTTGGTACATCTCCTGGGAGTCCAATCGCATTACAGAATTATAGATTTTTTTTTTTTTAAATAGAGAATTACAGAATAATATTTTAAAATCGAGGGACATCGGGCAACAGTTTCCTTTGGATAAGTTATATGGATAGCAGTTCAGAGAAGACAATTAAAACTCTCTTTTCTGAGACTCTCCATGTCTGTCAAAATCCCCATGATTCTCTAGGAATCTGTCTTAGGGAAGAAAGGGAGTCCCCGAGTTACAACGGTTCATTTAGTGACCGTTCAAAGTTACGACAGCACTCAAAAAAGCGACTCATGACCGTTTTTTCACACTTACGACCGTTGCAGTATCCCTATGGTCCCCTGATCAAAATTCAGAGGCTCGGCACTGACTCATATTTACGACGGTTGCAGTGACCTGGGGTCATGTGATCCCCTTTCATGAAAGTCCACGAGGAAGCCGGATTCACTTAACAACCGTGTGCTGAACTTAACAGCGGCACTTAAGAAACATGGCGTGAACAGTCGTAAAATGGGCCGAAACTCACTTAACAAATTTCTCACTTGGCAGCATAAATTGGGGTCGTAAGTGGAGGACTACCTGCACTGCCTTCCGGAAAGCACATTCTGCTTTTCTTTTAATGGGGTTAGACGGCATTTAGTATTCCCACTGAAACCCCTTGCAAATTGCAATGCAAGCAGGAGAAATTAGGACCTTAAATTAGAGCAAACCCAGACAAACTGAGTTAGGATTAAAGTAGCGGCCTCCCTCTTCAGGTAGTCCTTGATTTAGGACCAAATCAGGTCTGGGACTTCCCTCGATAAGCCATGCGGTCAGTAAGTGAGTTGCTCCCAATCTTACAAATGTTTTGCTCTGGTTGTTAAGAAACCCACACAGCCACGAAGCAAATCCGGCTTTTCCCGTTGACTTTTGCCCCTGGGAAGGTTGCAAGTCCCTGAATTTCCATCCCACGATGGCAGAAATGCTGCAGGAGTGGTAAGTGCAAGGACCAGTTGTACTTTGCTCAGTGTATTTTTGAACGGTCGCTAAAGGAATAATCGTAAGGCGAGGACTCCCTGCATCGGACTCGGATGTGACGCTGTTCAGGATGTCACCATTCCCCTTATAGTCACAGGGGAAGTCACAAAAGCCATCGTAAAATGTATGGCCAAACTCCTGCCTCTTTCTAGCATTGTTCCATCTGATCACCACAACTACCATCCTGGCATTTGTGACACACAAACTCCACACCTTCGCAACTTAAAAGTGCAAATTTGGCGGTTAGCAGTCCAATATTTTACAGCAGCATGTTTCTTGTAGCTTGTTCTCAATCTTCCAGGAATGGTATAACGTAACCGCCCCACCCACTTAAAAATAAACAATACAGGTGGTCCTTGACTTATGACCACAATGGAGCCCCAACATTTCTGCGGTTAAGCGTCGCATTGGTTCAGTGAGTTTTGCTCCGTTTTATGACCGTTCTCGCCACAGTGGTTAAGTGAATCGCTGAAGTTGTTCAGTTAGTAACCTGGTTGTTAAGCGAATCTGGCTTCCCCTGTTGACTTGGCTTGTCAGGCAGTCGCAAAAGGGGATCACGTGACCCCGGGATACAGCAACGGACATAAGTACGAGTCAGTTGCCAAGCGTCTGAATTTTGATCACACCACAGGGAGGCTGCAACGGTCGTAAGTGTGAAAAATGGTCATAAGTCACTTTTTTCAGTGCCGTTGTAACTTCTAACGGTCACTAAATGAACTGTTGTAAGTGGAGGACTACCTGTAATAGTATTGCACCCAACCTCTTGAAGACAGGTCAAAATTAATGGTATTATTATTATTATTTTCTTAGAGTCATAAGGAAATGCACAAGACTCAGCCACCATAGAATGCAGAAGAAATGATAACTGCCAGATGCATCCTAAGGGTGGCGCTATTGCATTTAATAGGTAGTCCTCAGCTTACAACGGTTCATTTAATGACCGTTCGGAGTTACAACAGCACTGAAAAAAGTGTCTTATGACCGTTTTTCACACTTATGACCGTCGCACTATTCTCCTTGGTCACATTCTTCTTGACTCATATTTGTGACGGTCGCAGTGTCACATGATCCCCTTTTGCGACCTTCCGACGAGCAAAGTCAACGGAGAAGCCAGATTCACTTAATGACTGTGTGACTAGCTTAACAACTGCAGTGATTCACTTAGCAACGGTGGCAAGAAAAGTCGTAAAGATGGGGCAAAACTCGCTTAACAACCGTCTCACTTGGCAACACAAATTTTGGGCGTCCTTGTGGTCGTAAGCCGAGGACTACCTGCATAACGTTCCAGAGAGGCTATTATTTCGTATATTTCAAGCCCAAATCCCCTCCCTAGTCATTCCCAAGGATAGACCTATACAAAAATAATAAAAAAATAAACGAGCAATTCAGGTTGATTCAGGATGCACATCAAAACATTAACCGAGCCCGTTTATTTATTTACCGTCCCAGACACTCACTCACCCGCCATGAACCTTTTTAAACAATGTGGCTGTTTCATTTAAGGCTGCAGCAGCTATGCGTGCCCTATACACTCCCTATAACTGATGAGTCAGGGAATGAGCAGGGCATGGGCTCTTGGTTTTCAGAGATATTACAGCTCGGGGCCTGCCAGGGCCATGTGCCTCTGTGGAAGTGACAGCAAGCAAGGATGGCCTCGGATTCTCTGGTTATGGTTTAAGGAGAAAAGCCTGGCCCTCTGCTAAGGAAAGGCTTATTAATGCACGATTATGGGGAAAATAAATGCTCGTTCGTGCAAATAGAATTAGAATTAGAATTAGAATTAGAATTAGAATTAGAATTAGGATAGGATAGGAAAGGGAAAAGGAAAGGAAAGGAAAGGAAAGGAAAGGAAAAGAAAAGAAAAAAGAAGAAAATATGGAATGGAACGGAATGCAATAGAAAATAGAAGAGTGGATAGGACAGGAAGGACAGGACAGGACGGGACGGGACGGGACGGGACGGGACGGGACGGGACGGAACAGAATAGAATAGAATAGCATAGAATAAGGTTAGAAATAGAAGAGAAGAGAAGAGAAAAAATATGGAAGAATGGAATAGAGTAGAAAATAGAATAGTAGACAGGACAGGACAGAATTAGAATAGAATAGAATAGAATAGAATAACTTTATTGTCACTTTGAAAGTACACTAATGGGCATACATTAAAATGAGATTTTGTGGCATGCAGTTCTCAAAGGGTCACCACCTCCAATATGTACTATATAAACGTGACAAAATAAATACAAAATTATGCATATACCCACATATATTATGACAGAGAAACAACAGGAGGAGGAGAACAGGAGAACAAGAAAGAGCAGCCCAGAATGTCAAATCCATCTTGCACATTTTCAAAGCCTCGATTTTTTCCCCCTTTTTTTAAACCTGCTGAGCCTTCACTCCGTTTCAGTTTCAAAAGGAATTTTCACTCAGATTATGACTACAGGGGCCGTTTGCAGAAAATTTAAAAGCAAGATGAAATGCTAGATGGACGTAAATTATTTTAATTTGAGCATTAATTTTTGTTCTTCCTGAGAATTGATTACTCGGGCCTTACTTGATGAGAACTTAAAGAATCATATACTGTAGTCATCACCGCACTTTCTCTGTACAGGCAGTCCTTGAGTTACAACAGTTCATTTTGTGACCAAAGTTACATCATCACTGAAAAAAGTTACTTTTTGTAACTTTACAAAAGTATGACCCTTGTTCACACTTACAATCAAAATTTAGATGCTTGGCAACCGACTCATACTTATGACGGTTGCAGGGTTCCCAGGGTCACATCAATGGGGAAGCCAGATTCCCTTAACAATCCTGTTACTAACTTAATAACTCTAGTGATTCCCTTAACAACTGTGGCAAGAAAGGTCGTAAAACGGGGCAAAACCCACTTAACAAATGTCTCGCTTAGCAACCTAAATTTTCGGCTTGAATTGCGGTCGTAAGTTGATCTGTATGTACCTGGTCTTCCTAAATCTACCTTTAACTTAACACCACTTCATTTAAAAGTTGTAAAAGGAAACAGAAAGTTCAGAAATAAATTAGTCCTGCTTTCCTTCCGGGAAGATTTTCAGTGTCATTTTTAGATTGTTAACACCCAACAACGTAGCAACTGTGTTATAAACACAGTCTTGTTTAGAAAAGCCAACATTTCGGGCGGTTTCTGATTCCTAACAATAATGTTCATTTTTTTTCCCCTTCCCTTTTTCGTTTGGTGAAGATCCTGGTCACAGTTTTCCACTCTATGAAATATTTCCAAGAAAGAACCCCGGGGCCTATGAAGTATGTGTAACCATAATCAGAATACCCATCCTGCTAAGTGTGATTGTGACATTAAGCTCACAATTACCTGCCTTGAACTTAACATTCAGGGCACACAGGCAGTTCCTGGAGTTATTTGTCTCAAATCTCAAAGGCTCCAGCCCTTCCTTTCCCAGCCATGGCTTAAAATCAAATTAAACTGAGTTTCAACAACCCCCACCCCACCAAGAACACCTGTTACACAACGCAGAAAAAGAAGTGAGGCCAGCTTCCCTGGTGGGTAAATATCTATATTTCCCCTCTGGAAAGCGGACTCCGTCCCCCACCCCCCCACGGGGCCAAATTGCAACCATTTAACGGCCCGGCTCCCCAAATTAATTGGCCGGTTGGGATCGGCGCTTTGCAGGGGACGATGCCGATCCGTGCCAAGTCCCGGTGGGAGAGGAGGGAGGGCGCCGGGATCCGATTGAGATCCTTCCGGGAGAGCAGCTCTGAAAAGGAAAAGCGGATCTCCCCCTGAACGACTCTGCGCGGGGAGTGGGTTGGGGGGGGGAGAGACCCCATTTCTCCGCCTTTGAAACTTTAGGGTGCGCATCTCTTGGGGGGGAAAGGGAGAGGGGAGCTGCAGCCCTTTCCAAATTCGCCCAAATGCTCCTTGGGGAGAATTGCCAGGAGGACCCCGAGAGGCAGCCTCAGGGGACCCCACCCCTTTCTCCCTCCCCTCCCCACATGCCCCCCCTCCCTCCGGGCCCTGCAAGGACTCACCTGGATGGATGAGTTTGAAGCTCTGAGATTTCCTGCTGCGCTTCCTGGCCGAGAACTCCATGGCGCGCCGGAGGAGGAGGAGGAGGAGGAAGAAAGGAAGGGAGGAAGAAAGGAAGGCAGGAGGGAGGAAGGAGGCTCAGAGGGGTCGCCAGGACCGGGGACCGCGAGGCAGAACCGGCTGCGGGGTTCTCATCGGCCCCGGCGCGCAAAGGGCCGAGGCGCCCCGGGGCTTCTCCTGCGCGCCCCGCCGGCAACTTGGCTTGGGACTTTTCCCCCGCGGCGCCTTCCTCGCCGTGGCATCCAGCCCAAACTTTGTCCCGGGGCGATGCTGCGGGAGCCTCTTGCCCTGCTCGGGGAGGAGGAGGAGGAGGAGGAGGGCAGCGCTGGCTCGGCCGGCTTTGGCGAGGCGAGGCTGGCTGTGGCCGTGGCTGCGCAGGGCGCCGCAATGGCTCGCGGGTGGCCCTGCCGGAGCTGCGCCTGGGCTCCCGGTGCCACCTGCTGGGGGAAGCCGGCCTGCCAGGCACCACAGCGCACCCCGTGGCGGCTCCGGAGCCCGGCGGGCACAGCGAGGGCGGGCCGCCCTGCCACCCCCGGGAAGGCCGAGCCATGCCCGGCAAAGCCAACTTGGGGAAAGGGGCTCCCGCCCGGAGACGGAGAGGCGAAGGATGGAGAGGGGCGCTTGGCGCTCTGCCTCTCCAGCCCGGCCGGGCACCTTGCAAAGAGCGCAGCCTCCCTCCGCCCGCTTGGACCAGCCGGGGGCTCTTCGGCCGGCACCGCGGGGGTAAACTGCCCCGGCGAGGAAAGGGAGGGGGTCCCCCAGCCCAAGCCCCCCAGGCAGGAACCGCGCGCGCCCTTCCACTCTTTCCCCGGCTGGCCGAGAGCCCGAGCGCGTTGCTGGCTGGATGGGGAGGAGAAAGTGGCGCGGTCCACTCGGGAGCCCCGAGAAGGGACTTTGGGGGTGCACTAGCGGGAGGGGGGGTCCACGCGCCGGAAAACGACCCCCCCTTCTGCCAAGCAGCCCTTTCCCGGCGCCCCAGAGCCTTCCCACTGGGCTTTGGAAAAGCTCTCCAGTGCTCCCCGAGCCACTTGGGATTCGAAGGCTCTACGTTGCCGTGGGGGTTTTCTCCCCCCCCTTTTTAAAAAAAAATTGTGTACACGTGTAAAGAGTCCAAAGGACGGGAGCTTCCGCCTGAAACAGTCCTTGCAAGACGGCCCACGCGGGAAACCTCGGGGAAGACTTATTTTGGAGACTGGGGAAGGGGGGCTCTCTTGAGAAAGGGGCTTGGATGCAGCGGAATAGGGGTGGGACGGAGGGTCCATTGGGAAAGGGGTGCAACGAAACCAAGGAGGGGCCGTGCCCACGTGGTCGAAGCCCCGCCCCATTTTACACGTGTCTGAGCCATAAGCCCAAAGAGGGCGGGGCTTTCTTTCCTTTCCTTTATTTTGCACTCCTGTTGGGATGCGAAAGGTGCTTTTTCAGCAGGTTGAAATTCACTTCTCCGTCTGACCTTGACTCCTTAGGATACACAGAAGGGAGAGAAAATCGAAATCGGGTCCAAAATATTAAAGTCACATTTTCTGAAAGGCCTTGGAAATTTCCCGTCCTTTTCTGTCTGATTTTGAGAGAGAGAGAGAGAGAGAGAGAGAAAGAGAGAGAGAGAGAGTATTGTTTGTATGTTGTTTCTTTCTTTCTTGTTAAAGAAATAAACAACATAAAAGCGATACACACAAAACAACAGGGGAGAAAGGAAATTGAAGGAGAATGTATCTTATATTAATCAAAACTAATGCCTTGATCTGTGTGTCATCAGTTACACTGTAAACGTTTGAGTCAGTTGACTTTAACAGATAAATGTAGCCGTTTTTAAATCCCTTCTCCAATCAACATTTCTCTGAAAAAACTGGAATAATTGCCTATTTTCCACATTTGAAAAATAAAAAGGAATGACTCCACAGTTTGAAAGATAAAAGGAGATACCGTCTAGTTTGTCATTTTATGACTTGCTAAAGAATTTGCTTTCTACAAAGGCATTTTACAAATCCAGAATGAAAGGGTGCATGCCAGAAACTTGATAAATAATGAAGTTATTCAGATGACAAGTGTATTAAAATTTTTCATCTAGCTCGAAGCACAGTTGTACATTGTTTTAAATCCAGCAGGAACCAATGGCAAGGAAAGATTACATTTTCAAAGACAGTATTTTCGTGGAAAGCAGGACCATAAAATAAAAAATGTACACATTAGAGCATTAGATTAAATTGGGTAAGGAGTATAATTGCCTTCAACACAATCAGATTCGAAAGATCAAAGGCAATAATACATCAAAGTCAACTAAATTAGTAATGACCTCCGGGAAGTTGAATAATTCTCTGCAGCAGCAGCCAGATGTTATATTCTTACCCTATAACTTCAATGTATTTCCCCCCCCTGTTTTCATTGTGTGGGTGCTGCAAATGTAGTAATTCTTTCCAGGTCATAATTTTATTGCCCCATCATCACTCCTTCTAAAATAGCTCAGCCTTCGTTTATCATGAGAATTGGCCTTCCTAGGGGACTAAGGAGAATAAGATCGAGTAACTTTTTATACCTAGACATTAGGAGCCTTGGTAGTACAGTGGTCTAAAGCACCCTGTTATTAAGACCAGCTGCCTGCAATTACTGCAGGTTCGAATCTCGCCAAGGCTCAAGGTTGACTCAGCCTTCCATCCTTTCTAAGGTAGGTAAATTGAGGACCCAGTTTGTGGGGGCAATAAGCTGACTTTGTATAAATATACAAAAGTATGAAGGCTATTGCTTAACGCATTGTAAGCCACCCTGAGTCTCTGGGAGAGGCGGCATTTAAATCAAATTAAATAAAATAAATAAAATAAATAAATAAAGCAACATGCCTCTGAAGCACAGAAGCAGATGGCCCACTTCCTTCTTCCATGGGGAGAAAAATGAACCTTGCAAAAGAAAAAAAAATCATCTTTCATTTTAATTCATTCTCTTTCTTTCTTTCTTTCCTTCCTTCCTTCCTTCCTTCCTCCCTTCTTTCTTTCTTTCTGTCATCCTATCTATCTATCTATCTACCTACCTATCTATCTACCATCTCTGTACCTCTATATCTAATAAAGGAGAATATTTAACAGTTTAACAATAACAGAGTTGGAAGGGACCTTGGAGGTCATCTAGTCCAACCCCTGCTCACGCAGGAGACCTGTACTAGGGATTCAAACCGCCAATTTGTAGCTCAGGGTTGAAATCCTTGGCGCTCTCTGAGCCTGGTGGTTTTTGCGGTAAATACAGTCCCTGAAATGAATATATCAAGCAAAGCATGAGCTACTTTGGAAGCAAATAAAAGGAAAACATTTTAAAGTGACTGACTGCTTTTCTCTTTTTCTTTTTTGAAAACCTATATTTTCTGCGGTGCCTTAAATGCAGTTCCTTAAATGAACATAGCAACCATCTCTTATTTTGGGTGATTTATAAAAGCCTTTGAAGGAAAGGAGAACTTTTTAAAATGACCATCTGCTTTTTGCAAAAGGAAGTCTCATTTTTTTTACAAGGTTTAATTGCTGACCCTATTTAAATCTAATGGCTACAGCAAGAAAAAGGAACATTTAAATATATATATATATTTATAATTTATAAGATTGGCCAATTTACCATCATTTATGCACACTGTCCAGATTAAAATAGATGCAATTGCTAAAATAACAATAGGACAGAATTCTTTATTGGCCAAGTGTGATTGGACACACAGGGAATTTGTCTTGATGCATACGCTCTCGGTGTACATAAAAGAAAAGACAAGAAATAAGATGCCAATAATCTTAATACAACTGTGCACACACATCCTAACTCTGTATTCCTCCACCTTGGCAATTTTAAGATAACGGACTTCAATTCCCAGATTTGTCAAGGTAGAAAAACATGCCTCATTAAAGCTGGCACTGCAGATCAGATACTTTAACAGATTAACAGAGTTGGAAGAGATCTTGTAGCCCCCTCCAGCCCAAGCAGGAGACCCTACACCATTTCTGACCAATGGCAATCCAATCTCTTCTTGAAAGCCTCCAGTGATGAAGTTCATGGATTGGTGGGAATTGAACTGTAATTGAATGTGGTGGGGTGGAACTCTGGGCATGTGCAAAGTGTATTCTGCAATCGAAGTATTTATGCGCAGTAAAGGCAGGCAAGTGAGATCCAGGATGGTGTGGTATTCAAGGCCAGGAGCAGAGAGATCCCTGCAGTGATGCTTAGGCATGAAAGCCAACTGGGTAGTTTCGGGTCAGACAGTCCATCTCTGTCAATCACAGGAAGAGGAAGAAAGTGTATAAAATATATAAGAAAGAGGCATCTCACCTTAATTCCCTTCTGATTATTTTTGCAAACGAACTGTGATTTTTTTTTTGTTCCAAATATCCAAAACTTGCATGGATTTGACTATGAAGACAGCAAAAATTAAGACTGCAGAAATTCAGGGGTCCACCAGAGGGCAGCAGAGAGACATAGAAAATACGAACTCCCCGCTGCCACCTAGGGGTCATCCAAATTCTTGCAGTAGGACAAAGCAACTTGATTAAAACCTGATTTGGGATTGATTTGCGGGAGATAAGCACATTTGAAAATAAATAAATGCAGGATTTATTTACTGACCTGGGCTGTCCCATGAGTTATGTTAAGCTCTTAAGGGTGGGGGGTTGGATGGTGTTGGAGATTTTTTGCCTGTTTCCAGATGGGGGTCAATGATTTTGGGGGCTTTTAAAAACAAATTGAGAAACGTGCGATATTTATGCAACCCACCTCGTGTTGTGCTCAACTGCATTTGTGAGAGCGCAATCAAGCCTTGCATCTGTATTGTTGCATTTCTCTAAGGAAACACAACAGGGCAGCAAAACTGAGATTGTGATAATATTTGAATGTGACATAAAACATGCTCAAGTCCTTTGCAACCCAAGGAGAATACCAGTAGTCAGCGGTGAAATCCGGCTGGATCTATCGGGCTCGCTCAAACTGGTAGCGCCGGTGGCGGAAGGCTCCGCCCACTCGCCGGGACATCATTACGTCCTGTTTTTGACCCTCTGCACATGCGCAGAAGACACGCGAGCGAGCGTAGTGAGCATGCACACACGTGTGCTCCCATTCCCGAACCGGTAGTGAAGGTAAGTGGATTTCACCGTTGCTGGTAGTCCTCGACGTACGATTACAAACAGCCCAAAATTTCTGTTGCTATGTGAGACAGTGGTTAAGTGAACCCAAAGGTGCTTTTTTCCAAGACTTTCTGGTTTTTCTCTGAAGACGTTTCACTTCTCATCCAAGAAGCTTCTTCAGCTCTGACTGGATGGTGGGGAACGGAAGGATTGCTATTCCTTGCAGACAGATCTGGTCATTTGCATCCTTTTAGAGGGCGGTTGAGGCCACTTGGAGGTTTGGTCTGCATCTAGCTGCTGAGTGTGTTTTGGCCCATTTTGCAACCTTTCTGTGTCACAGTCGTTAAGTGAATCTTGAGTTGTTCAGCGAGTCACCCTGTTGTTAAGTGAATCCAGCTTCTCCATTCACTTTGCTTGTCAGAAAGTCCCAAAAGGAAATCACGTGACTCAGCGACACGGCGACCGCCATAAATACGAGTCAGTGGCCAAGCATCCGAATAACAGGGATGCCTCAACGGTCATAAGGGTGGAAAAACGGTCATAACTCCCTTTTTTCAGTGCCGTTGTAACTTCGAACAGTTACTCAATGAATGGTTGTAAGTTGAGGACGACCTGTGTGGGGTCTCCTGCTTGAGCAAGGGGTTGGACTAGAAGACCTCCAAGATCCCCTCCTGCTTTATCCTGATTGATTGATATTTCCCACTTTCCCCTGCCCCTAATAGCCAGTTGCGATCCAAAGGCGGAGCGCGCATCTCTTAATTCATTCGTAGGATCGCAACTGCTCCCACGTTTCTTCCTCTCCGGCATAGAAAGAGTGCGGGGGAAAAAAAGGAACCCGGAAGTCACTCCTCGCGGAACGCGGCGGCCTCCTCTAACATTTTTAGCTCTATGTCCCCGAACGGCACGTTCCAGCGCTCCCGTGCGGAAATGACGCGATTATTTGGCGACGGGGCTTCCGGTCAAACCCGGAAGCGGCCTCGGCCTGCTTTTTTTTTTTTGTTTTGTTTATTATTCCCCCGCGGGGAAGACGAGATGGACCTTCTCAAGGCGGAGGTCGAGCGGAAGCGGAAGCTGGTGGAGGAGAAGGAGCTGCTGGCGGTGAGGGGAAGGGCCTACCTCGCAGGGTTGTTGTTATGGGGAGGCCGCCTTCCCGGGGGAGGAAATTCGGCTTATTTAGAGCAAGAGATGCCAATTAAAGGGGGAAAAACTGGGTTTTTTTTTTAAAAAAAAAAACTTCCTGGCTTTTTTTGGGGGGGGGGTTTCATGGAGCTTGTCCTACCTTGCAGGGGTGTTGTTCCTGGAGATCGCCTTAGGAGGCCCTTTGGAGGAGGAAATTCGGATTAATTAAAAGCCAGGGTTGCTATCAAAGTGGGGCTTGTTCCTCCTCCCTGCTTCCCTTTCCCAGCCTGGCCTGCCTTGCAGGGCTGTTTTTTTTTGGGGGGGGAAACCCTGGAAGGAAGAGGCTGGAATTCAATTTTCCCCACAGAGGAAATTAAACCAATATTTAGGGGTTTCATTTAACGTATGGCATAGCTGAGAATGCTAATTATTTTGTTACCCTTAGATCCTCCCATATCGGGCAGCAAATAATACTAATGTATACAAAGTAGATTAATATTTTGCCTTGATTAAGAAAACGCGGTAAAATAACGAATGTTAAAAAAAATCTACCTTCAGAGACCAAAGTCTCGAGGCCAGCTAACCAACGAAGGCCCAGCATCGTTTTATCTGAAAAAATAAATAAATCAGAAACTCATTCAAGATGACCTCAAAGAGCGGACGGATCCACAAATTAACCCATCTGGTTCTAGCCTAGCAGGGTGTCCAAATCCAGCCTGATTGGATCATGAAACGTCTGCAAGAACCCACCAATCTCAGAGAGGACCACGGACCCCACAGTCCTCCTCTTCTTCCTCTCCACAACCCTCCTCCTTTGCAGCCCTGATGGTGTTACCTAGTTGGGTAATGAAACGTCTGCAAGAAAACCACCAAACTCAGAGAGCACCAAGGACCCCACACTTCAAATCTCTGAGCAAACTCTCTTCCCTTCTAGCACTGATGATGTTACCTAGTTGGGTCTTGAAACGTCTACAAGGAATCCACCCAGCTCAGAGAGCATCAATGACCCCTCATTTCAACCCTGAGCTACAAATATTCTCCTTTATTGGTAAATCCAGCCTGTTTTGGTAAGGGTTTATTGGGTATGGGTCAGAAATTTGGAGAGGGGGAATTGGATATTTATAGCTCAGGGTTGATCTGTGGGGTCCTTGTTGCTCTCTGATCTTGGTGGTTTTCCTGCAGACGTTTCATTACCATACTAATAAGAGCACCTCCCCCCCCACTCTTCTTTCTCGCACTGATGATGTTACCTAGCTGGGTCATGAAATGTCTGTGAGAAAAGAACCAAGCTCAGAGAGCTCTGAGGACCTCACAGGAATGGGTATTGTTTGAAAAATTGTCATCCCTGTTTAAAACACCCCTCACATGATTCTGCCAGAAGCAGATTGTAATCTAGTCTTCACCACATTTTATATTGCAACACCTATAAAATTACTTCGTTAAAAAAAAAATGGTTCCTAATAGAGTATCTGTTTTTTTTCTTTCTTTTTTTAAATTTTATTAAATATACAATTTAAAAACATTAGACTTGGTGCGACTTGTCTGGTACATACTTTTCTAACACTTTTTCTTTTGTGTATATTACAATATAACATGCATATTCCATATATACTTTTTGTACATTCATTCACACCTAATAGAGTATCTGTTATTCAAATATATTTTGGGAGAAGAATGGAATATGAACATCTAAAATGTTACAGCTCACTTTATATGTATTGTGTAGGGGGAGGGGTTATTGATTTGATTTGATTTGATTTGATTAAACTCCCAAAGGAGTCAGGGCGGTGTACAGCCATATTAAAACACATATAAACTCACAAAATTTGAAAACAATTGATCACTCCATGTTTTTAAACATGCATTGTTAAAACAAAACAGAAGGAAAAAAAATGCAAGAGTTCTCTTAACATGATGTCATTTCTCTCTTTCAGGGAAATAAGAAATATTTCAAGCGCAGTGAGTTAGCAAAGAAGGAGGAAGAGGCATATTTCAAAAGATGCGGATACAAGGTATTGGCTTGCAATTCAAGTCAGTCACGCCGTCTAGATTCTCTTTGGTCCTGTATTAAAATATATTAATCCCAGTTATTTCTCTCATTCTGTCACTTCTGCACTTTAGCCAGTAAGTGAGACGCCACCGAGAGAGGTACGAATTCCCGAGCTAAGTTTGCAACACAGGAAGAGCCATGCATGAATATACAGCTATTTTGAGTTTTTTATTTTTTTACTTTGGCTTCCTGTGTCCAGGGCATGAGGCTGCTTGAGAATGGAGCTGCTCTTATTTTCTTTACGTTGTGCCCACCAGGCATGCAGGGTGGACCTGATTTAATCCTCTTGAGCCAAGATCGGTAGCTGTTGAATTGCTGGCTTGATTTATTTTGCCTGTCAAACCCTCCAGAACCCAGCAAGCGAATCTTGTATTGATCGGTATTTTCATGCCTTGAAAGATACATCTAAGTATCTTTAGTCGGTTTAGTCCTTGGAGTTCAGTTTGGGGGAAAACAAGTTAGCCCAGATTGTCAGCAGCGGGGACAAAATCAAATTTCCTGAGAAAAATGTTCTAAAGAATCATTTTTTGTTTTTGAGATGTTGCAGCTCACCTGAATGATGCAGAGTTCCTCACCTGTACAGACCTTTGTTACCCAGTGCAGAAAGACCTGATAATGTTATACCATCATAAATGCTTTTGCTTCGCTTACGCTGCCTTAGCTTATAAATGTCTTGAATGGCTTACAAAAACAGGAAGGAGTGAAATCACACATGTTGTGTTTTTGCAAACACCCATTGCTTGTAGCTAGCTCCAGCTGATGGAAGGATTTTGCAACTTTGCTTTCCATCTTGGGCTTAAATCCACTGTTTTCATAGCCGCCTCCCTCTTCCAAGGATGGACATGTTATATTTGCGACATACTAGCGCAAGATATGACGTCGTTACATATCCTGAAGATCTCATTTGCCTTTTGGAAGTTTTTTAAAATGGTCTTGGATTCACTTGGTAGAATGACTGCTTGTTGTTGCAGTACCAACTTTGCGTTAGCCTAACACATAAACACGCACTCAATATTTTCTCCAATGGTTTTGAGTTGGGAAGGGTCGTTGTCGTATTATTTGCACCCAGTGGTATTTCTGCCTCGGGGGCATACAGATAGTCCTCGACTTACAACAGTTCATTTAGTGGCCATTCGAAGTTACAACAGCACTGAGAAAAATGACTTATGACTGTTTTTCACTCTTACGACGGCTGCTGCCTCATGGTCATGTGATCAAAATTCAGATGCTTGGGGCAACTGACTCATATTTACGACGGTTGTAGTGGCCTGGGGTCACACGATCTCCTTTTTTGCGACCTCCCGACAAGCCAAGTCAAGGGGGAAGCCAGATTCACTTAACAACCGTGTTACTAACTTAACAACAAAGTGTGATTCACTTAACAATGGTGGCAAGAAAGATCGTAAAATGGGGGTTAAAACTCACTTGACAAAGGTCTCGCTTACCGGCAGCAATTTTGGGCTCAGTTGTGGTCGTAAGTCGAGGACTACCTGTACTTTAATTCTTGAAAAAGCAACAGAAATGGACTCAATGGTGAGGCAGTCTTTCTTTCCCTTCCTCTGCTTGTGTTCTTTCATTCTCTTCTTCCTTTAATTAAACCGTAGATTGTTATTATTTTTGGACTAGCCAGCTTTGTTTGTGCAAGCAAGAGTTTGCCTCAGTGGTGAAATTCAAATTTTGTTTACTACCGGTTCTGTGGGCATGGCTTGGTGGGCGAGGTGTGGCTTGGTGGGCATGGCTTGGTAGGCGTGGCAGGGGAAGGATACTGCAAAATCTCCATTCTCACCCCACTCCAGGAGAAGAATACTGCAAAATCCCCATTCCCTCCCCACTCCTGGGGGAAGGATATTGCAAAACCTCCCTTCCCACCCCACTCTGGGGCCAGCCAGAGGTGGTATTTGCCGGTTCTCCGAACTGCTCAAAATTTCCGCTACCGGTTCTCCAGAACCTGTCAGAACCTGCTGGATTTTACCCCGGTTTGCCTCCAAGCAAGAATTGAGAGTGCTCCCTGAATTATGTGACGGGGTGAACTCTAATGTGAAATATGTAAATCATGTACATTTTTTAAAAAAAACTCCCTGGTTACTTAACGGTGAAAGCATCAGCTCTCAAGTCTTAACTGGTTCCCTCTCCAAAAAGATTTACTTTTAGTTTTGTTTGATAGTCTACATTCTTTGTGAAGTTGTGTTGCCTTCTAACTGGGTGGGGTTTGTGCCAGTTGCAGTACCTGGCCCAGTTAGTCTGGAACAACGGTCCAACCCTAAAACCAACGGAAGTGCTAACTAAATAATTATATTGGGCGTTCTAGGGGAAATTGTGCTTCTCTGCCCGGCTATAGATAGTTTAGATGCGGGGGAACCGTGTTGCGTGTTCCTATTGAAAGCTGTGGATTATATTGTGCTCCTTGACACTATTTAGGTCAGCGATGAGGCCGAAAAGGATGAAAATCCAGGCTCTTCAAATCCGGTGCTGGAGCTGGAGCTGGCAGAGGAGAAGCTGCCCATGACTCTTTCCAGGCAAGAGGTACAGCCAAACGATTTGTACGTCCTCAAGATTTTTAGCTACCATCACATCGTAGTTGGTACGTGCCACTCGTCACGCTTGAGGCTCTGGTCCTGCCCATCCTTCCGCTCTCAAAGGGGATGGAGAGTTTTGAGAGCGCCACAAGTTGCCGATCTTGTGGTCCAGTGGACGCATTGGGACAACGCCTCCTAGGTCAGGAGGGAGGTGAAGCAGGAGGCTGGAACTGCCCCCAATTTCAGCTTATTAAGATTGCCTGGGTGGCCCAGAGGTGATATTGGAAATTCCACATTAAGCTTGCAGCCATTTCTCTCCCCCTCCCTCCCTCCCTCCCTCCCTCCCTCTGTCTCTCTCTCTCATATCTATTATCACTCTCATCTCTCATCTACCTATCTAATACCTACCTGCCTATCTTCATCATCTCATCTGTCTATTCTGTTGTCCATCCATCCATCCATCCATCCATCCAATCTATCTATCTATCTATCTATCTATCTATCTATCTATCTATCTATCTATCTATCTATCTATCGTTTATCTAATCTCTCTCTCTCCATCTATATCTGTCTGTCTATATCCTATATCTATCTATCTATCTATCTATACCTACCTACCTACCTTATCTGTTTGTCTATCATCCAATTATCTTATCTCTCTCTATATCTATCTGTCTAATCTATCTATCTATCTATCTATCTATCTATCTATCTATCTATCTATCGTTTATCTAATCTCTCTCTCTCCATCTATATCTGTCTGTCTATATCCTATATCTATCTATCTATCTATCTATACCTACCTACCTACCTTATCTGTTTGTCTATCATCCAATTATCTTATCTCTCTCTATATCTATCTGTCTATCTATCTATCTATCTATCTATCTATCTATCTATCTATCTATCTATCTTCTATCTATCTATCTATCTATCTATCATCTATCTATCGTTTATCTAATATCTCTCCCTCTCCATCTATATCTGTCTGTCTATATCCTATATCTACCTATCTATACCTACCTACCTACCTTGTCTGTCTATCATCCAACTATCTTATCTCTCTATATCTATCTATCTATCTATCTATCTATCTATCTATCTATCTATCTATCCATCCATCCATCCATCCACCTATCTATGTTTGAGCTGAAACGTCTCCTGAGTTAAATCCCTCAATTGTGACATTTCTTGAAGGCCTTTGATGTTGCTCAATATAGAGCATTCACCTGGATGGAGCCCCTTTCCTTCCAGAAACTTACAGATGGGTGTTTTCCAGTTGATAAATCGGAGCCTTTTGCTGACTGTTTTCAGGTCATTCGGAGACTGAGAGAAAGAGGGGAGCCCATCAGACTGTTTGGGGAAACAGATTACGATGCCTTTCAGCGATTGCGGAAAATAGAAATTCTGGCCCCGGAAGTGAACAAGGTAAGCTTGTTCATGAAGGGTGATTAAATGCTGAAATGATTTATACAGGAGCCCTATAAGCAGCCATTTGTTTCTTCTCTCCATTACTTGAAAGGATCTGTCAGCATTTTATCAAAACAATACTTTAATTATAATATAGTTTTGCTTCCCTGGTAAAACACAGAATGCCTTTTCTCTGCTTATGAATTGGTGGGTAGAAAGTCTTAAGATCCGAATGAACAGAGATCCAATTTGGATTGCTTTATTTGGAATGAGTATGTTGATTATTTGAGATGAAAATGAAAATTATTTGAGATGATATTCAATGCTGCTTTTCATCCCTCGCTCTGTGTATTGGCTTTACAATTTAAGTGGAAATCTTAAAAAAGAGAATGAATGTTTACCGTATTTTTCGGAGTATAAGATGCACCTTTTTCCCCCCTAAAAGGGGGTGAAAATTTAGGTGCATCTTATACACGGAATGTAGCCCTGCCCACCCACTGGCCCCCACCCTTTGGCCTCTGCCTCGCAGCAGTTACCTCCTTACAAGCAAACAGCAAGAAAAAAACAGCTCCTTTCAGCTTCAGTACAGCCTAATTAGCACAAGTGGATTGGATCAGCCTCCCGACTCTCAGCTGATTTGCTCTCAGCTGTTTTGCGCAGGGCTCTGCTGCTTGCTGCAAAGAGGTAAATTGCTGGAGCAGATTTTTCCCCCCCCTTGTGCTAATCAAGCTATGCTGAAAACGAAACTGAAAGTAAAGCAGGCTGTTTGCTGTTTGCTGCAAGGAGGCAAAATGGCTCAGAGGCAGAAGGAGATTTCTTTTTCTTCCTTTCCTCGCCAAAAAAAGTAGGTGCGTCTTATACTCTGAAAAATACGGTAAGTTGTGCCTTATGGTTTGACACAACAAACGTTTAGGCGTACTACTGCATGAAAACTTGGGGCCAGTTTGTGTGACCATCTGTTTTTTTCTGATGGAATTTAGAAATACAGGAACACTGCAGTTGTGCAGATTGTGGTGTCCCAGATCCTGTATATTGCGTATTTTATGCCATCCTGCCAACTGATGGGTTCATCTTGGGTAGCTCCAGGATTTCTACTGAAGCTGACAACCTGTCTTGAGTTCCTTAGAAGTTCAGGCAGTCCTCGACTTATGACCACAACTGAGCCTGAAATTTCTGTTGTTCAGTCAGACATTTGTTCAGTGAGTTTGGTCCCATTTTACGACCTTTTTTGCCACTGCTGTTAAGCAAATCACTGCGGTTGATGAGTTGTTAAGTGAATCCCGTTGAATGTTAAGGATATTGTCGAGTGACACCCAAAGTTGTGGCTTATAAAGCAGAGTACCGTTAGAGTTTTACACACGGAAACTGTTTGAGAGTAATTGTGAAGAACATACAGACAAACTGGGTTTTATAGTATTTTAGTTTTAGGGAAAAGCAAAATCGTAGTCCTTTAACAATCCAAGTCTTAGCCATATAAAGTGCAATATAAGATCAATCCAGGGATATAAAATCTTCTTACCAGTTTGTAGAAAAATACAGGAACAATATAAAAACAGTTCAATAAATATCAGAAAGCAGTAAATAAATAATCATGATCAAACAGTTGACCATAGAGAGATCAAAAAGAGTTACAGCATAGCAGCAGGTAAAATGGTGTAGTAGTCTACACTAACCATAATTTAGTTCTCCTTAAAGACCTTGTCTACAGAGCTCAGCCAATCAGGATGCAGAATGACTCAGCACCATTCTTAAAGCTACATAATACATTCACATAATACAAACATACAATGTTGGCATATATATTTCCTGGCCAACCAATTAGGCAATAACCATTTCCTAACAGACTTTGCTGGTCAGAAGGTCGCAAAAGGGGATTGCGTGACCCTGGGGCCCTGCAACAGTCATAAGTCCATGCCAGTTGCCAAGCCTCTGAATTTTGATCACGTGACTATGGGGATGCTGCAACGGTCATAACTGTGAAAAATGGTCATTAAGTCCCTTTTTTTCAATGCCGTAATAACTTCGAACGGTCATTAAATGAACTGTTGTAAGTCAAGGACCACCTGTACACAACTAAAGATCCACCAGCTTGGTGACCTAGTCTGGACTTCGTTCGATCTTTTCGTTAATTTGATGCGTTCCTTCAATGGTTTCCCCTCTCGTAGGGACTGAGGAACGACCTGAAGGCAGCTTTGGATAAGATCGACCAGCAATACCTGAACGAGATTGTAGGGGGGCAGGAACAAGGAGAGGATGACGCGCAGAATGACCTCAAAGTCCACGAGGAGAACACGACCATTGAAGAACTAGAGGTATGGAATGACATTTTGGCTGGGGACAAATGCGCAAGCAGAACGGGACAACACAAACGACGCACTGTGGGAATTCCTGTTCCTGCTGCGTTGACAAGGTGTACCTTGTTTGGTTGGGATTCAGTCCAGAGAACTAACTACGCTCTCCTCCAGTTATCTCTTCATTCGCAAAGCAAGTCAACAACTGAATGCAGCCTTTCATGTCAACAGAGTCTTGAACTTTTGGCAGGTTTTAGGATACAGAAATTGTCCCACAGCTTTATTCGTGGTTCACTTCTGGGAATGTTTTGTTACCTGTAGAAGAAAATTGTTCTGGAAATATATTTATTCTCAGGTTTGTGAAATAGAATACAGAATAACAAGAGTTGGAAGGGATCTTGGAGGTCTTTTAGTCCTTGAGCAGGAAATCCTATAGTATCATTCCAGACAAATGGTTGTCCTACTTCTTCTTGAAAACTTCCAGTGATGGAGCACCCACAACTTCTGAAAGCAAGCCGTTCCCTTGATCAGTTGCTCTCCCTGTCAGGAAATGTCTCCTTAGTTCAACGTTGGATGTCTCTTCATTGATTTTTCTCACCTGTTACTTGTCCTGCTTTCAGATGCTTTGGAGAAGAGAACATAGAGTGATAGAATTGGAAGGGACCCTGGAGGTCTTTTTCTTTCTCACCTGGCTCCAGATCCTCTCTATGCATCTAGGAGTCTCTGGAGGCTGGGGACAGCAAAAAACGTCACTTCCTGTCCAACCGAAAGTTGGAAAATGGGCCATTTTGGGCTTCTGGTAGGGAAGGCTGTTTTCGCCCTCCCCAGATGCATAGAGAGGATCTGGAGCCGGGTGAGAAAGAAAAACGGGCCTACTGGGCCATTGCGTGCCAGGAGCGGGGAGGGGGAGCGGGGGTCACGTGTACATGCGCGGGACAGGACGCATAGAATTATGGGTGTGGGCACACGCGCACGTGAACCTCCCCCGCCCCCCCCTTCCTGGCACGCGATGGCAAAAAGGTTAGCCATCACTGCCCTATACCAATCTGGACAAATGGCTGTCCAGTCTCTTTTGAAAACCCCCAGCGATGGAGGTCGTGGAGAGAAGCTGTTCCCTGGGTTAATTATCAGGAAATTTCTCCTTCGTTCTAAGTTGCTTCTCTCCTTGATGAGTTTCCACCCATTGCTTCTTCTCCTGCCTTCAGGTGCTTTGGAGAATAGCTTGACTCCCTCTTCCTTGGGGCAGCCCCTCAAATACTTTAACACTGCTATCATGTCACCCCTAGTCCAGTGGGGAAATCCAATTTTTTTTACTGCCGGTTCTGTGGGCGTGGCTTGGTGGGCATGGCAGTGCAAAATCCCCATTCCCTCCCCACTCCAGGGGTAGGATACTGCAAAATCCCCATTCCCTCCCCACTCTGGGGCCAGCCAGAGGTGGCATTTGCCGGTTCTCCGAACTACTACCAAACGCTACCGGTTCTCCAGAACCTGTTAGAACCTGCTGGATTTCACCCCTGCCCTAGTCCTTCTTTTCATTAAACTAGACATACCCAATTCCTGCAACTCTTTTTCATATGTTTTAGCCTTCAGTCCCCTAATCGTCTTTGTTGCACTCAAGCTGTACTGTATAAATGTTGGAAAAAAGGCTCCAACTTTTTTAAGTAATAGAAAAACTGAAGAGTGTCTTCTCCAGACCAAGAACATTCTTGCTTGCATTGACTCTCATCCCTAAAATATAATGTTTTTTTTTGTTTTTTTAAAAATTTGATTTATATGCCGCCCTTCTCCGGAGACTCAGGGCGGCTTACAATGTGCTCAGCAGTGTTCTTGAGTTTTGTACATTTGTATCAAGGTCTGTTGTTGAATTTGTGTTTTTTTTCTCTCTCTCTCTCTCTGTCTCAGGCCTTGGGAGAATCCTTAGGTCAAGGTGACGACCATAAAGATATGGATATCATCACTAAATTCCTGAAGGTAAAAAGCCAAACAAGGCATCCTTTAAAAACTGGAAACTGGCTGATTAGCTGTGAGAATCTTGATTTTTATACCTGTATGATTTTTAGGGTTAAGAACTTGACGTTGCTAGATATTTCAATTGGGATGAATATTCAGAAATTGCTGGTAGGAATTTAAGCCAAGGAATAGAATCACGGGCTACTTTAAAAAACTATTTTCTATCGAACTTCAGACTTCTCTATCTGTGTTGAGAGATGACAGAAAATGGGTTATTTCTACTCTGGAAATCCTTCCCCATTCCCTGGACTATACATCTTTACAATACCACTTTTTATAACCGCTGGCAAATGGTTTTTGATGGATCTTTACAGTAACTGTGGTATACAAACATTTTTCCTGGGATTTATTTTTGAACCTCAATTGCCATTTCATAGCCTCTGCTGATATGAAGAATTTTATTAACTGGCTTGATTAAAGACTCACGGGCCAGAACAGATCCAGGCATTTGGGTTTTAATGTGCTGCCCTAGCTAATCTCCCCCCCCTCCCCAGTCTTTCAGAGTCTTTGACTTCCAGGGCTCCCGAGTTAGTGTGAACGTGGTTGAGGATTATGGGAGTTGAAATCCACACCTCACGAGCCCCGCACTTGGGGAAGGGAGCTCCGATTGGCTTGCGTATTAAATGTACAAAGGTTTATGTTGAAAGATAGTTTAACCAGGTTTTGCCTGTCTTCCAGTTTCTTCTCGGAGTTTGGGCAAAGGATCTGAACGCGAGAGAAGATTATTTGAAACGGGGCGTCCAGGGAAAATTGAACAGCGCGACCCAGAAGCAGACGGAGTCGTACCTGAGACCTCTCTTCAGAAAACTCCGCAAAAGGGTAACGCCTGGCAAATTATTCCCCCCCCCTCTCTTTTCTGGCATTCTTGCATAATATCGACTGTTATTATTATTATTTTTCCTTTGTAAAAAGTAGAGCCGTCAGTCAAACGTGACAGCTGGTGTACAAGGTACTGGATGGTGAAATAAAATTGTTCCTGGAGTGTTTTGTGTCAAATTGACCCCTGGCACCTCGAAAATCGACCTGCATTTTCTCTGTAGGCCTTAATTCCGTTTTGCTGGTAATCTTTGATTTACAACTTATAACGGAGCCCGAAATTTCAGTTGCTAAGCGAGACAGTCGTTAAGGGAGTTTTGCCCTCTTTTTCTAACCATTCGTTCCATCGTGGTTAAATGAATCCCTTCCGTTCTTCAGTCAGTAACGCGGTTGTTAAGTGAATTTGGCTTCCTATTGATTGCTCGATAGATGGTCGCAAAAGGGGATCATGTGACCTTGGGACACTGCGGCCCCGTCATAAATATGAGTCAGTTGCCAAACTGGTCTGAGTTTTGATCACGGGGAGGCTGCAACGGTCATAAGTGTGAAAAATGGTCCTAAGTCACTTTTTTCAGTGCCGTTGTAACTTTGAACGGTCACTAAACAAACTAAGTCGAGGATTAGCCAAACAGTGCAGGCTGGTGACCCCCAGGGGGAGGGCCTTCTCTGTGGGGGCACCTACCCTCTGGAATCAATTGCCCCCAGAGATAAGGAGAATCCAAAACCTCAGTGCCTTCCGCCGTGCCCTTAAAACCTTCCTTTTCCAGCAAGCCGGGCTGGCCTAATTTTTTAAGTGTTTTGTTTATTGTTTTTAATTAATGGGGCCAAATTTATATATGTATATTTTAACTGTATTTTAATATTTGTACTTGATATTTTTACTTGGCTGTTCACCGCCCTGAGTCCTCAGGGAGAAGGGCGGTATACAAATTCAAAATAAAATAAAATAAAATAAAATTACTTTTTATCGGGAGTGTTTTTTTTGCAAATGTAAGAGCTAATTCTTCTTCTTACCTGCTTAAAATAATAGCTGTGATTGCCATGCCTCTAATTCCGTTTTTCCCCCCTCTCCTTCGGAAAGCGTGGCCCTGGCGATCAGAAATTCCAAAAAACCCACCACCCTCCCATAATGCCGTATGTTGCTTTGCCTCACTCGGGGTTTGTGCTTCCTTCCTTTTTAGACTCTGCCTGCAGACATCAAGGAATCCATCACAGATATTATCAAGTTCATGTTGCAAAGGGAATACGTGAAGGTACTGCCCGGTTTTTTTTTAAAAAAAGTCTCATGACATTTGAACTCCGGAGCGTCTTTGGATTAAGATGTTGAAAGTCTAAACCAGGGTGGATAAAAATCAATGATTTTTTTAAAAAAATCAAAAAAATCAGATTTTTTTTTAATTTAAATTGGATTTTTTTTATTTAAATCGGATTTTTTTTTATTTATATCGAATTTATTTTAATAAAAAACTTTTGGAATAAAAATCTATCGTAAGATAGTTTTCTATTTAAGATACATAAATAATTTAGTTTATTCAGCATGAAATGGAGCTTAGTTATGTAGCAGGAGGCTGTATATTCTGCAACACTGGGACTATCGGTGAGTCAACAGTGGGTCAAAGGAGTAGCAGAATGACAGTTGCTCTTTAAAAATTATGATTTAAATCGAGTTGATTTAAATCAAGCCTTTTTACTAGTGATTTAAATCATGATTTAAATTGTGATTTAAATCAACTTGATTTAAATCAAATCCACCCTGGTCTAAACAGTGTGCTTTTCAGAGCAATATTATTTATATTAATAGAATACTAGAATAGGGGTGGAATGTAAAATTTGTTACTACCGGTTACTACCACACCGGTAGGCGTGGCTTGGTGGGGGGTGGGGTTAATGTGACGGTGGGCGTGGCCAACTTTTTTTTTTAAACTTTTCAAAGCATGGTTAGACAAATGGTTGTCTAGTCTCTTTTTAAAAATATCTCCAATTGTAGAGCAGCCACAAAGCCATTCCACTCGTTAATCATATTAAACAATATAAATTAAACAATGTAAATATTGTTAATACTTTAATACTTAAATACTTAAAAAATGTAAGTTTAGAATAAGGGGCAGAAAGGTTCAGAATTTAGGCACTAATTAATTATATTAAACAATGTAAATATTTAAACAATATAAATTTATATATATATATATATATAAATGCTTGCTGGCTGCCTGAAGAAAAAAAGCCTAGAAACTAGTGGATTGTGATTTCACTGAACTAGGGCTGCAGAAATATATTGGTTTACGTAGGAAAAACCTGGCTAGAGGAAAAACACACACACACACACACACACACACGTTTTCTGAGGTTTTCGCGGGTATTTGTATGTAGGTCTTTGGTTATTCGGGTTTTCTCCCGCGTAAAATTGGAAGTGTCTTGGTGACGTTTCGACGAAGTCTCATTCGTCATCTTCAGGCTGGTGTTTTTGGCTTCGTGCTTCTAGGAGCAAGGAGTTCTTCTAGGAGCAATTGCTCCTAGAAGCACGAAGCTGAAAACACCAGCCTGAAGATGACGAATGAGACTTCGTCGAAACGTTGCCAAGACACTTCTAATTTTACGTGGGAGAAAACCCGAATAACCAAGGACCTACACACACACACACACACACACACACACACACACACACACACACATATATATATGCACACACACACACATATACATATATACATACGTGTGTGTGTGTGTGTGTGTGTTTTCGTAGATTTTCATGGATAGAGGTATGCAAGTTTTGGTGTATTCGGGTGTTTTCCCGTGTAAGATTGAGAGTATCTTGGCGCCAAGATACTCTCAATCTTACACGGGAAAAGACCCGAATACTTATTTAGAAAATGTAAGTTTAGAATAGGGGGCAGAAAGGTCTTCAGAGTCTAGAATTGTTCACCTGTTTCTGAAGAGTGGAATGGATATTGCTTAACCGAATAACAGAGTTGGAAGGGACCTTGGAGGTCTTCTAGTCCAGCCCCTTGCCCAACTCGGAAACCCTGTATCCTTTCAGACAAATGGCTGTCCGATCTCTTCTTAAAAACCTCCAGTGATGGAGCATCCACTTCTGGTGGCAAGTCGTTCCACTGATTAATTATATTAAACAATATAAATATTCATTTAAACAATATAAATATTCATTTAAACAATATAAATATTTATATTGTTTATATCAATATTTATATTGTTTATATCAATATATTGTTTGCTTACTTAGAAAATGTAAGTTTAGAAGAGGGGGCAGAAAGTTCTTCAGAGATTAGGATTGCCCACCTGTTTCTGAAGAACTTCGGGATTGCTGCTGCTTAACAGAATAACAAGAGTTGTAAGGGACCTTGGAGGTCTTCTAGTCCAGCCCCCTATATACCCTTTCAGACCAATGGTTGTCCAACCTCCAGTGTCTGCCTTGCCTTACATGATACTAACTGGGTTGTTTCTGCAGGCCAACGATGCCTATCTCCAGATGGCTATTGGGAATGCGCCCTGGCCCATTGGCGTCACCATGGTTGGCATCCATGCCCGTACCGGTCGTGAGAAGATCTTCTCCAAGCACGTGGCCCACGTTTTGAACGACGAGACTCAGAGGAAATACATCCAGGTAAGAGGAACAAAATTATGGACGTGTCCTTCAGAGACACTGCAATTCAAGTCACGTGAATCCTAACATCTCTAGAGTCCTCCAGTATCTCTTGGGCTCTGGGAGAAGGACCCACTTTCCTTCTTTGCACCCATCTCCGCAGGGTTTGAAGAGGCTGATGACCATTTGCCAGAAGCACTTCTCCACCGACCCGTCCAAATGTGTGGAGTACAACGCTTTGTGACAACACCGCAACCTCCTTTCTGCTCTTGGGGACCCAGGCAAGACGGGAGAGGGACAGCCTTTGGGAGAACTTTGCCTCTGAAGCTTGGAAGAAAGAGCAGAGGTCAATGTTGGTTAAATTTGGCGCCTGTGTGGACTTCAACTCCCAGAATTCCCCAGCCAGCCATGCAATTCTGGGAGTTGAAGTCCACACATCTTCATGTTGCTAGAATTGACAAGCACCATCTGATGTTCTGCCCAATCAGTCTCAACAACTTAAGCTTCTATCAGCTTGTATATATCTTTTTTTTTTTTTTTTAGTTTTTATAGGAAATCGTCTCGAAAAAAAAATCTGGTAGTGGGGGAGAAACAATGTCCGTGAACCCATGTTAGTGGCAGAGGATGATCTTATGCAGGGGAACAAATAGACTTGAGAAAAAGGAGGGGTTAATTTCATTTGTTAAAATCCAAAGCTATGGGTAAGTGTGCCGAAACAAATCAAGATTCGTAAGTGTGCAGGAGGATGGAGTTGTTCCAGGTTAACTTGCAAATTCAAGTCTGTTTAAAACAAGCCACTTTTGAAGGTTTGATCCTTTCCCGTTGGGACAGGCTCCGATTCTGGGTTCAGATTCTAAAACACACAACCTCTTTTCCTTCTCTATTTTCCTCGATCACCTGCTGATTTGTAATGTGGTTTGTTAAACTTGGAATGCCGGCTTAAGAGGAGCCTCAAATATTGTCATGAAAGTTCATCCCTTTTTAAAGGGATTTTTAAAATGGCTATTACGGATTACGGGCAATAATAATTTGATTATTAGGTCCTTCTGGGAACAGGGATCTGGCTCATCTAAAGGCAGTTTATAATAACCTGACTCTCAAGAACCGACAAATTTGCATTTGCTCTGCGTTTCTTAATTTATAAAGTTACTTTCCTGCCTATTATGTCTGGAGAATTATTTCTGTGACACTGAAGGCTGAAAAAAAGGTGATTTTGGTCGGCAAATATTTTGGAAGGTAGTTGAAACAAAAGGGTATAACTTTACTAGCTTAAAACGCCGCAGTTAAATTTGATTATTAGTTGGAAATCCCCTCACTTGGAATATTTGTTTGTTTAATATAGTATTTTTGTTCAACAGGGATGGGAAAGCTTCTAACTATTTGTAGACCTGCTATGTAAAGGGTTCGAATTTATCAATTTCTTTTTTTTCCGGTATCCACCTGGGTTGGATTCTCTCCGTTTAATGTTTATTTGATACTTGGATCATTTTCTCCCTTTTCGTACATCCATCTTTTTTCTTTCTCGTTGTTTTCGGGGCTGGAAGTATGGTGGTTTTTTTTCTGTTTTGTTTTTCTCTATCATATTTTATTTTTTACGATCAAACAAAAAAAAATATAAAATTAAAAGCGTCGCAATTAAGTTGGAGCAGTCAAAGTGTTGGACTAAAGATTGGGAAGATCTGGTTCAGGTTTGCCTGGAGTGGAAAAAAAACAAACAAAAAACCGGGGCATTTTGGTTTCTGCTGTATATTTTTGTGTCATGTAAGCTCATCCTCCACATGTTCAGGAAATAATTTTTGCAAAGGGAATTTTAAGGCTGCCTGAAATGGCATAGAAGAGTTTATATTTGTTGCTGCCAGTGGGTGGCAGCACTGCACTGACCATGTCTGGGCTTGGATTGAAGCTGGTTAGATCTTAGATGCAATGCCCCCCAAAGCATCCCAGTCAGGGCTGGAGACTGGGTGGGGCCACTCTGAAACCATCTGGAAAGGAGATGGGGCCATGGGGGCACAGTGGTTAGAATCCAGGACTGCAGGATAATTCTGCCCATTGCCAGCAGTTCGATCCTGACCGGCTCAAGCCTTCCCAGGTTGACTCAGCCTTCCATCCTTCCCAGGTCGGTAAAATGAGATTTTGGGGGGCAATATGATGACTGTGAACCACTTAAGAGTGCGGTATATAAGTCTTAAGAGCTATTGCTATTTAGAAAAAGGTGGAAGTCAATGAGATGGAAATATCTAAGCAAGCGAACTCTCTGGGACGCATAAAACAAAGGAACGGCATTTCCCCAAACTCACTGCTGGAAGCCAAAGGACACTTCCCAGAGTGTCCAAGATGATCTTCCGGTTTCCCGCGTTCCTGTGTGCAAGAAAACCAACTGGTCATCAACGCTGGAACTTGGAAGAGCAATGGGTGACGGCTCTGCCCGGAGAGATGGCTCTGCGTGCCACTTCTGGCACATGTGCCATAGGTTCACCATCATGGGAATAGAATTAACAGAGTTGGAAGGGACCTTGGAGGTCTTCTAGTCCAACCCTCTGTTCAGGCAGGAAACCGTACACCACTTCAGACAAATGGTTGTCCAACCTCTTCTTACAAACCTCCGATGTTGGGTCACCCACAACTTCTGGAGGCAAGATGGCACATCCCTTGTGTAGGTCCCTCTTAGATCAGTGTTTTTCAACCTTGGGCCACTTGAAGAAGTGTGGACTTCAACTCCCAGAATTCCCCAGCCAGCAAGGTTGAAAAACATTGCCCTAGATTTAAAGAACCATGAATTAGATTCCAACCTGCATACATAGAAACACGAAAACTTAGTTTCAAAAACTTAAACTTAAAAATTCAATATGACTTGTGCAAGACTCAGTAATTAAAAACAGTGTATAAAATAAATTCCCTAACCCCTGCTCGATTCTTGGAAACCTGCATATGTCCATATCATTTTTGGGAGGGGCAGGAATATGGAAGTGGTTTTTTCATTGCTCTAGGACTCGGGGGGGTTCAATCCCGCTCATTTTTCCGTTTCAGACAAAACTGGCTAAAATAGACGATCAAGGTAGGTCGAAGGGCTTCGAAAAAAAGCTGCACGCTGGGTCAGATATATATATATTTTTTTCATCTTGAAAATGCTTTAATAAGGAAGTGTTGACAACACCGTTTTTGCAAAATGTAAAGAGAACTATACAAATTCTTAATACAAAAAGAATAAATTAAAAGCGGATTTTAAAAACAAAAAAATTCTGCAACTCTATAACAGCGTATCTCGTTTTTCTTGATCACTGCTGTACAGGAGTCCAAATCATTTTACATGCTTTACAGTCGATTTCAGAAGAGTTCTTTTTTTTTTCTTTTTTAAAAAAATGTGGAACTAGAGTTGATCTTATATATATCTATATAAAAGATATAAAGAAGGGAGCTCATATGCATATATATATATATATATGTATATATACACATATATATATACACGTTCCTTTCTTTATATCTAATTAACTAAGCAGTATAATTGGTCATGATAGCACCTGAATGAGTCTGCTGTATCCAAAACTAATATTGAGTTGAAAAACAAAACCAACTTCCTTTTTCTTCTTCTCTTCCCAACATTTTCAACACCCAACTGCATATAATATTGTTTAAAAAATAAACCCTGGCCACCATTTAACATGGTGCGAATGCATATACAAAGCAGGAGGAGGGAGGGAAGGTTTTACATACAGACTAAAAGCATTTTCAGACCTAGGAGGACCCTTTTCTTCTTCTTCCTCTATATAAAAGCAGAATTCAAGAGTGGGTGGGGGGGGCTAATTGGGGCCATACAGTAGCCGTGAATTTCCCCCTTCGTGTTATATCACGATCTCTCAATTTTAACGTTCTTATGTACATTATTTTTTTTATTTTTATTTTTTTTCCGTAGAACTGAATCGAGTTTTAAACAGTAAAACCTGTTTTACTTAACTTCTGTCTTTACTACCAGACTGGCTCACAAGTGCCTCGATCGAAAGAAATAAAAAATAACATTGGAAATCACCCCGTTTTTCTCTCTCCCCTCCCACAGCAAACAACGCACCCCAGGACCAATTTGCAAACGAGCTGAAGAGCGTGAGCTTTTTTTCTTTTAAAATCAATTTGCAAAATTAGGGTTGCCAGGATTAGGGTTGTGGGGGGTTGTTAAAAGTTAAGTTTTGTTTTGTCTTTCTGCTCAAGTCACACACCAAAAATCTGACGTTGTAGACTAGATCTAGGAGGTGCATCTTGTGGTCCAGACATGGATGAATTTTTGGCTGTGAGCCAACATTGTTGAAGTGATGGGTTTACGTCGGATACCATCAACTTGCTAACTGGGGTGAATTTGCTTGCTGGGTTCCTTCCCAAGAACTTGGCAATTCTGTAGCCCGTCCGAAAACTCCCTGAAACTCTGGTTTATTCCTTTCCCATTTGACCCTGGTCATCTGCCAGCAATTCTGGCTTATCATTTGGCATACAAATTAAAAATAATAAGAATAAATCAAGATTTCTAGCTGTTCTGATTGAACTGAAAAGTTGGTCCTTTTTTTTTTTAAAAAAAAAACCCCATTAAGTGGTTTGTTTCAAAGTATGTTTTAAAATAGTAGATAATTCCCTTCCCTCCCTCTGGAAAAATTACAGATTGATGGAGAAGCTGAGAATTTTGTTTTTTGCTAATTCTTGCTCTCCGATACCCTGGTTCCTTTTGTCCCCTAATAAAGAGGACAAGCAAAAGGATGCTATAAAAACCAGCATTTTTTCAATTTTGGCAACTTTCCAGCTGCGTGGACTTCAACTCCCAGAATTCCCCAAGCCTGGGGAATTCTGGGAGTTGAAGTCCACCCAGGTGAAAAGTTGCCGAGATTGGAAAACGCCATAAACCATAAAAGACATGAGCGTGTGAGCAGGTGATCGGTTATTTTTAACCTGAAAGAAATGTCTTAATGTCACAGCAGGGCGGTTCAAACATCACCCAAAAGCTTATTTTTCTGGTTTGGATAAGTGAATAAGTAAATGATTGACCAGATTTAAAAGAATATTTTGATAGCTCAGCTGGGTGCAAATCAACATATAATGAAATGCTGGAATTACTCCCCGATTCCGGATTAGACGGCCTGCTTTTTCCCAGGGATGGCTGTCTGGAGTGGGTGGGCAGCTGCCATCTTGCCTTTTTTTGATCTCTCCGTTGTTGCCTAAATGCAGGACGTCCTCAACTTACAACCCTTCATTTAGTGACCGAAGTTATGACGTCACTGAAAAAAAGTAACTTAGGACCGTTTTTCCACACTTACGTTGCAGCCTCCCCCTCCCTGTGGTCACGTGATTGACATCCAGACACTCGACGACTGACTCACAATTATGACGGTTGCAGTGGAGCCCAAAGTTTCCGTGGCTAAGCGGAACCCAGTTGCTAAGTGAGTTTTTTGCCCCCATTTTACGACTTTTCCTGCCCTGTTCGTTAAATGAATCATTGCAGTTGTTTAAAGCGAGTAATCCGGTTGTTAAGTGAATCTGGCTTCCCCATTCTCACTTGGCTGGTCAGAAGGTCGCCGAAAGGGATCACGTGACCCCCCCCCCCAGGGCCGTCATAAAATGTGAATCGGTTGCCAAGCCTCTGAATATCTATTACGTAGCCACGGGGATCGTAAGTGTGGAAAAACGGTCATAAGTCTCTCTCTCTTTTTTTTCAGTGCTGTTGTAACCTTGGTCACTAAACGAACTGTTGTAAGTCGAGGACTAGCTTAGTACATTATCCAACAACGTGCCTCTATTTTTTCTCCTGTTCCCGCTCTGCATTTCAACCTTGTTCCTTCCATTATCCATTTTCTTCAAGAGCCAGCCAGTTTCAAATTCTTTTGATTTTTCCTGATTATTCCTCGCCATTTATGAATGGAAGCAGTTGGTGGGTATTTTTATTTTTATTTTTTGCTCTTTGGACTCTCTCCTGAATTTTTTTTTTTGCTATTGCCAAATTGACGCACAAACACAAAAAAAAGAAAGGCAGGAACCCTGGCTGTCCAGTGGCCATAAAACATCAAAGTAGCACCATGGCGAAAACTTGGCCTGCTTCCTTCAAGATCTGGCCAGATCAGGGGTGGCTAATGAAAGCCCCCTCCTCTCCCCCAAAAGACGGATTTTGGCTCTTGTTAATAATGCTCAAGACAAGGGACAACGGAGGGACGGGCAAGGATGGTGGCTTGTGGAGAAGCCCGTGGGCTCGCCAAGATTTTCAGGGGCAGTGGTGAAATCCAAATTTTTTTACTACCGGTTCTGTGGGCGTGGCTTGATGGGCGTGGCGGGGGAAGGATACTGCAAAATCCCCATTCCCACCCCACTCGGGGGCCAGCCAGAGGTGGTATTTGCTGGTTCTTCAAACTGTTCAAAATTTCCGCTACCGGTTCTCCAGAACCTGTCAGAACCTGCTGGATTTCACCCCCGGTCAGGGGCCACGGAGATCGCGTCTGGGTTTCTTATAAAAAACATGGAGGCTTTTTGGAAGTCGGATGGCTTTCTGGATTCGTAAAAATCATGGCTCAAGCGTTCGTTTCCCTCTTTCTGTCTCAGCGACCACGTTTTTGGAATTCAATGCGGGTGAATTAATGGCGGACGGTTCATTTTGGGAACGGAGGGGAGGCAAATGAGTTCGGCCACGCTCTCTTTCGTTGAAGAAAAAATTCCCCTGGCGAATCACAAAACTCCTTTCCTACGATTAGTAATACATAATATACTTTTGAGATCACGTTCCATGTATCCCGATCCACCTTCCCTTAATCCAGGGGTGAAATGCTCTCGGTTCGGACCGGTTCGGAAAACCAGAAGCGACGGCAGTGCGACGCTCCGCCCACCTGCCCGGTCGTCGTTACTTCCTGGTTTTAACTAGGAAGTAACCTGTTTTTTTACCCACTGCACATGCACAGAAAGGTTTGCACATGTGCAGAGGGTCCACGCACGCATGTGACGTGGCGTGTGCACTTCCGAACCGGTAGGGAAGGTAAGTAGATTTCACCCCTGCCTTAATCCATCCCTTAATTTGAGATCTTCCCTTGTATGGGTTTTTTTTTTTTTTTTGTTGGTAACACTGAACAGTTTGGGGGCATTTTCGCTTCATCGGATGACGGTTCTTCCAATCAATATCACGGTGTGCTCTTGCAAATTTTTGCCCGGGGAATGTTGCAAAAATTACTAAATTTCCCCTTCCTCTTATAACCTGGCCTGCCTCCCTGTTCTCGCAACTGGTTTCTCCCAACAGATCCTGGGTTTGTATTCATCTTCTTTTAACGACCCCATAATCCCTTGCGGGATGGAGTCTGGGCCACTGAATGGAGCTAGCAGAGTGTTTTACTGGCCAGATGCCCTTCCTGTCGCCAGTGCGGAGTTTTGTTCAGCAGATATATTCCCATTGTGCCCAGAGAGAGAGAAATATCCGCCTCTACCTAGGATTGAACTCACAGCCTCCTGATTGTGAGGCGAGAGCTCCACCTGTAGGCCACCGCACCCACTCTCTCCTGGGTTTACATTCCCTGATCTAACACGGTTCACGGTTTGTCGGATCTCAAAAGAGCATCACGAAGGCTATTGCTGCTGCTTAAAAATACCCCCGTTGTAAGAGAAAAGCGAGTCCTTCGGGCAAGTTACCAAAATCTTTTGGCGGCCACCACAAATTGCTTCGACGATCTTCCGGCTCGTCTCTGGAGACCAAGCGTCGCCAGTTCTCCTGCCTCGGAACCCAAACGGGGGCGTTTGCCACTCTTCTTCGCGACCGCTTTGAGTTTTTACCTTTCAAATCCGAATTTTCAATTTCACCGTTTCGCACCAAGAACACGTTTTTGCACGCTTGAAGGACAAGGATAAATCCAGGAAGGGTTTGGATTGGGCACCCTTATTATCTCGCCTTGACACCCGCGAAGGTCGGTGGTGGGGGGGGAGGAACGAGTGTGCAGAACTGGGACTGAAGAAGAGGTGTTTTGCATTACTGACACAATTGCTCCCTCGGTGATCATCATCTTCACTTGTCTGATGGCCAAAAAGTGCTTTTTCGCTTGAAGCTGGTGTCGGGCAACTGGATAAGGCAAATGAAGAGGCAGTGAGGTGATTTTCTTCTTTTTTTCCCCCAAAATGGCATGGATGCATCTGAACAGCTGAGGTCAGACTAGGGTCCCAGGCTTGGCTTTGTCCTGTCCGTACCACTGGACGTCGGAGAGTTCTGGATAAAGGGCAGAATCCAGGTAGCAGCTATCGCTGTAGCTCCTACAGAAAGATGGAAGTTTGCATTAGTCCATGTCCATTACGGGCGGTCCTCTACTTACGATGGATTGTTTAGTGGCTGTTCTGACCCAGTTCCCCAAACTTGATGTAAACTCAAAATATTCCTTTATTAGGAATGTCGGCAGCCCCGACAAAAAGTTTCTCTCTCACTGCAGGCTAACAAGTCCATCCGGCTGGGAGATGAATATTTATCCGCCACATCTAGTCATCTCTGCCGCCTGCCTTTTATCCCCAGAACTAGGGTGGGGCTTTGCTAGCAGTGGTGGCTCTTTCGTCCCAAGGACCGGCCCATAGATTTCCACTGCTCTCCTCTCCTCTGCCTTCTGCGCATCAGGCACTGGACCCAGCTGTTCCTCCTCTTCCCCATCAGCCACCTCCAGACCTGGGGGCTGTTGACTCTCCATCTGAGGGGTGATGGACGGCCCAGGCTCTGTCTCTCTCTCTCTCTCTCTCTCTCTCTCTCTCTCTCTCTCTCTCTCTCTCTCTCTCTCTGCCAGCTCCATTCCCTCTTCCCCCTCGGAGCTCTCAGGTTGTCCTGATGCTGGCCCTCACTCCCACGCCTCCTCCTCCTCCTCTGATTCGGCTGTTGGAGGGACCGGCGGCCGACAGGCCACAACAGTGACCAACCTTACAATGGGCTCCTCCAAAGCTACTTACAACCCAGTTCTGAAGTTCTAGTAACCGCTCTTCCCCCTGAGGTCATATGACCACATTTGAGGCGTTCAGCATTTACGGCTGTTTGCAATGTCCTGACTATACAACTGATGACGTTTTTGCTGGAAACCAGCGTTGATGTCCAGTTTTGAGCAAACATTATGGCGGACAATGGGAGCTAGCGCCTGCTTTAAAACAGCCCCCTCCCCCAAAGTTGCAAAATTGAGTCGGTCATAGGACAATGACCTGTCACGACTTATGACTGTAATGCTCAGGCCATTGAGGTGTTAAACCATGCGTCCTCTCCGCTTGTTATAAATATCTATCCTAAACTTGTGGCCACTCATTTTGGGCCCTGTGTAGAGCAGAAGTGGGGGGTGGACTATGGCCCCTTGGTGACTTTGTGGATTTCAACTCCCAGAATTCCTAAGCCAGGCATGCTGGGGGTTGAAGTCCACAGGTCCTCAAAGGGCCATAGTAGTTCCCCACCCCTGCTTCAAACTATCTATCCACCAATAATTCCTATTATACATTGCCCATTATCAAAGAGTAGCTACGATCACCCTGGAAGATTTACTTGCTCAGGATGGACCATGTTCCTTAGATCGCGCTAAATTGTGGACATTTCCAAGCAAAGCTCCAGACTGTCATTAAAAAAAAAAAATTACTACCTAAGAAATGCATCTGAAAATAGAGCTATTTTCAGATATCAAGATTTCGCCCTGTCTCAAAAAGGTGCTTTTTTCAGGAGGCAACTGGACTTCCTTGCTTTTTCTTTTGAAGACGTTTCGCTTCTCATCTAAACATCTTCTTAAGCTCAGACTGGATGGCGGGGAATGGAAGGATTTATACTCCTTGCAGACAAAGCTGGTATATGATTACATATAAATCCTTCCATTCACCAACCATCCGGTCAGAGCTGAAGAAGCTTCTTGGATGAGAAGCGAAATGTCTTCAAAAGAAAAAGCGAGGAAGTCCAGTTGCCTCCTGAAAAATAAGCACCTTTGGGACAAACGTTACCTGGATGACGGAGAAGCTCTACAGACTATTTTGCCCTGTAGCAAGTTGACTTCCAACATGGTTAGAAGGGTTTATGTTTTCAATTACAGTCTTAAAAACAAGCTAAGAAAGAGACGCGGGAAAAAGCCAAGACGGGGTATATATGGAACGCTCCATAATCTAGCCTTTGGGAGAGATGGTTGTAAAAAATATTTGTAGCTCAGGGTTGGACTGGTGGGGTCCTCGATGCTGTACAAGCGTGGCAGTCTTCTTTGCAGACGTTTCGTGACCCAACTAGGGAACATCATCGGTGCTAACATGAATGACGTTACCTAGCTTGGAAATGAAACTTCTTGCAAGAAAACCGCCAAGCTTGGAGAAGCACCAGAGATGGTAAGAGCTGAAGGACACGCCAAGGAAAGGAAAGCAAGGACGGAGAGAGGCATGCAAGGAGAAATTCATGCACGTCAAGGATGAAACATGCATATATGAGCGCTGTTTCACAGTTGGTTTGGTTCACTTCCACCAACAGTGTCACTATCGGCTCGCTTGTGGCATTGTGTTAGAGCAAATCTGGAGGACTCCTTTTTCACTTCTTTTGCTCCTGTGCTACGCATGACATTTCTCCCGCTACGGTTTTTTCCGCCAATCTTAGGTGACCTTGGCTGTGGCACCAGTGGGACCCCAATCCCGCATACTTCATTCTGTTTACTCAGGGTAAGAGAAGGAACTTGTGATTTCTCTATACAGGAGCCAAGATTTACTCAATTGTTGCGCTCTTACTTAGTGCAGCTCAACATTCTGGACTATATAGCTGACCAAACCTCTGTTCATTTCTTTGAGCTTCTGCTTTTTTGCGCTGCAATCTCTTAATCCAGTCTTTCTCAATCTTGGATATTTGAAGAGGCCCAAAATTCTCCAGCCAGCATGGGTGGACTTCAGCTCACATATTTCTCCAGCCAGCATGGATGGACTTCAATTCCCATAATTCTCCAGCCAGCTTGAGCGCATTTCAAAATTCTCTAGCCAGCATTGGGGGACTTCAACTCCCAGAATTCTCCAGCCATCATGGATGAACTTCGCTTCCCAGAATTCCCCAACCTCCCATGAATTCTGGGACTTGAAGTCCACCCATCTTCAACTGGCCAAAGTTAAGAAACTCTGCTCTGCTCCAATTCCCTACGTTATTTTGAGGTCCTCTCCCACCAGAGAGAAATGGTGCAAAGCCCAAGACACAAAGAACAAGGGACAAGAACGACACAGTGGAGATGAAATCTGGGTTTACAGCAGGAAAAAAAAACCCCAAACCCCTCACTATACCTCTAATCATCATCAGTACTCGGCTGAGTTGGAGATTGAGACTCATCCATAGTGGGTGAGCTGCCTCTGGCATCTCTGAGCAAAGCGGAACCAAAGCAGAGAGAGAGAGAGAGAAAGGAAGGAAAGAGAGAAGAAAGAGCAGATCAGCCATGTTAAAAAAGAAAAGCAGGGACACACAACTTCGCAAAGAGCTTATTCACACCCGTCGGGAAATGAGTTGGGGAGTCATTTCAGAAAGACAAAAGGGAGTTAGTGACGGAGGAAAATTTGCCAAAGACAGTTTGGGACGCTGGGAGTTGCACGGGAAGAATTGGGGAAGGGTGTAAGAAGCGAAAAAAAGGACATTATTTTTATTGGCAGACGAGACAACGCCGTTCCTAGGGCATGAGTCACTTTAAGAAGCGTGGACTTCAACTCCCAGAATTCCCCAGCTGGGGAATTCTGGGAGTTGAAGTCCACGCTTCTTAACAAGTTCTTAAAAGTTGAAGTTCGCGCTTCTTAAAGTTGAAAAACACTGCCCCAGTCTTAACAAAGAAAGCTCTCCTCTTTAAGAGGTCAGATATTCCTGGGGTGTTGTTTTTTTCCTCCCCAAGAGTGCAAAATCATGTATTATTATTTGATTATATTTTTTTTAAGCAATCAGCTGTACATATAACCCAGATCAACTGTTGGAAAAGTTCACACGCAGATCCCGTCTCCTGAAACTTTGCGCATGGGCTGGATCACAGTATTCAGAGAACTGGATCACTCTTTGGAAAACTCCAGCAAAATGGTATATAGCCGATTAAAAACTCAGGAGAAGGCCCTCCTTCTGGGACACGTGAGATTTATGGCCCAAGTAGCATCTGTACTGCGTGCAAAATATTCCCATTTGCTTCAAAACGTCACCGTGGATCTAAATCCGTGCCTGATGCCACCACGCTGCGGCTCTTCGCAGGGTGACAATTGTGGAAATCAGTGAAGCTCACAAAAATGCGAATTGAAACATTATTTTGGTGGGTTTCTTTCTTTTTCCACCTCCCCTTTCCTCTTTACAAGTCTACGGAGACGCTAGCTGTTAATTCAGAGAGTGCATGGTGTAAATATAAAAAAAAAATATTTTAAGGGTCTGAGTAGCCTACACTGGACTTTCTCAACCTGTGGTCCGTGGACCGCTGGGAGGGGGTGCAATTTTGTCACAGGGGGTCTGCAAAGGCTTAAGCCTTGGGGGTCCATAGCCCCCCACTAAAATACCACTAAAGGTATTTAGAGGGGGACCGTGGTGAAGAAAAGGTTGAGACAGGATCCACTGGCCCAGACAGGATGGCCAACAGGTGGGCTCACAAGGGGAATCCCTGCCCAGCCCTTGCCCTCTCTTCCTTGCCCCCCTCCCAAGGGACCCAAAACTCACCCAGTTTGCCAAGCTAAGATGTGGTGTGGACAGCTGGGGGTCAACGACCCACAATCACTCGGTGTGGTGGTTGAAGTCCTCGGATGGTGAGGTAAGGCAGCTGGAAAAATAATGGAGACATCAAGTTGAGGTTCTCCTGTCTATGAATGAAGGATCTGCTGACCTGGATTCCAAATATGAAGTGACTCATGGCAAGTTTCTTTCTTTCTTTCTTTCTTTCTTTCTTTCTTTCTTTCTTTCTTTCTTTCTTTCTTTCTTTCTTTCTTTCTTTCTTTCTTTCTTTCTCCCTTCCTTTCTCCTTCCTCCCTCCCTTTCTTTTCTTCCTTTTTCTTTCTCCTCCCTCTCTTTCTTCCTTCCTTTTCTTTCATCTCTCTCTCTCTCTCTTTTCTTTCTTTCCCTCTCTCTCTCTCCTTCTTTCAACTAAATAACAGCCGGTGCAGTTCCAACCGCTCTCCTTTATTTACAGATAGTCCTCTACTTACACCAGTTCATTTAGTGACCGTTTGAAGTTACAACTGCACTGAAAAAAGGTGACCATTTTTTCACCCTTAACGACCGTTGCAGCGTCCCCATGGTCACGTGATTGGCAACTGACTCATATTTATGACGGTTCACAGTGTCCCACGATCCCCTTTTGTGACCTTCTGAGCAGCAAAGTCAAGGGGGGGAAGCCAGATTCACTTAACAACCGCGTGACTAATTTAACAACCGCATGGATTCACTTAACAACTGTAGCAACAAAGGTCATAAAACGAGGTCAAACTCTCACTTAACGGTCTCACTTAGCAACAGAAATTTGGGGTTCAAACGTGGTCGTAAGTCAAGGACTACCTGTGTGTATTTATTTGTTAAATTTGTTCGCCGCTTATCTCCCCATGGAGATAAGCGGCTAGGGGTTTAACAACAATAAAAATTATTGGGTAAACGGAAGTAAAATAATAGGACAATAAAGTTCACAATGACAAAGGAACACAACGATAATAAAAGCATCAGTGATGGATGGGTGGAGAACAGAAGATTCCATGCACTCAGGGAAGGTCAAAAAAGTCAAGATGGCAGCCGGGACTATCTTCAAAGCCCCCCTGCCTTGTAAAAGGCTTTGATTATGTGATTTCTGGGTCTCTCTCTGCACCTGCTCAATTTTAATAAAAGCTCCAAATGTCTTGCCGAAGTGGCTTATTTTTAGCAGAAGCCGCATCTCCCATGTTCCTAACTTCAGGCAGCTGAGACAATATTAAAACTCTTCAGCAGGGACATGCGGCCTGCTGTTGGAATCCCATGGGTTTACGACGGGCATAACTAAAGGTTTAATGAATGCCTTGCATTATGGAATTATTAGAGCATAATCTGATCAGCAAAGAAACGGATTTTTAGAGGCTTTGGACAAGCAATAAAGCTTCTTTGCCTTCCGGGCAAACAAAACATTAAACTCTTGATGTAAAACTCCTAGAGCAGAGGTCTTCAAACTTGGCAGCTTTAAGACTTGTGGACTTCAACAGCTGGCTGGAGAATTCTGGGAGTTGAAGTCCACAAGTCTTAAAGCTGCCAAGTTTGAAGATCTCCGATCTAGAGTTTCTCCTGGATCGATCGATCGCACCAATTTGGTTGTAGGTCTCTAAAGCTAAATAAAAGTCGCAAAAAGTTCATATTTGATTTCTGCAAGTCCTTCAGTGATCCAGAGCTTCAAATTTTAAGGTGTCGCACTTCCTAATCCTACACGTTTGAGCGCAGGTGGGTAGCCCCGAGCGGGTGTTCCATTCATGCAATATTTGAATTTGTGCGAATTGTTAAATCGATACCGAGTGGTGCCCTACAGGGGGAGCTGTCACCTCACGATCAGGAGGCTGTGAGTTCGATCCTAGGTTGAGGCAGATATTTCTCTCTCTGGGCACAATGAGAATACATCTGCTGAACAAAACTCCGCACTGGTGACAGGAAAGGCATCCGGCCATTAAAACCTTCTCCTAGCTCCATTCACTTGCCCAGACTCCACTCCACAAGGGATTATGGGGTCGTCAAATGAAGATGATGATGTTAAATCGATACTGGGTCGTAGTTCATGCAAGCCAAAATTCAGTTAAGGAAAGGCTAGTATGTGTGAAATTGAGGCTGATGGATGCGCAATTGTAGTTGTGGGTTTAGACGCTTTGTGTGCACCAAATAGAGAAAAGGAAGATCCCATCAGAGGGGGTTTAACACAGGGGCTTTGTGCTTTGGAAAATAGGTGGACCCCCTCTTATTTGTGGCAGCCCCTCAAATATTGCAACTCTGCTATCATGTTACCTCTGGTACTTCTTTTCATCGAACTAGACCTACCCAATTCCAGCAACCGTTCTTCCTATGTTTTAGCCTCCAATTCCCTAACCATTTTGTTGTTCTTCTCTGCACTTTTTCTAGAGTCTCCACGTCTTTTTTACATCGCGGCGACCAAAACTGGATGCAATACAGGCAGTCCTCGAGTTACAACAGTTCGTTTAGCGACCGTTCGAAATTACGACACTGAAAAAGTGACTTATGATTGTTTTTCCCACTTACGAGTTTTACGGCACACCTCCCCCCCAAGTCACGTGATCAAAATTTGGAGGCTTGGCCACTGGCATGTATTTATGATGGTTGCAGTCCCAGGGCTCACATGATCCCCTTTTGCGACCTTTGGATGAGCAAAATCAATGGGGGAAGCCAGATTCGCTTAACAACTTTGTTACTACTGCAGCGGTTTACTTAAGAGCTGTGGCCAGAAAGGTCATATAATATGGGGAAAAGTTCACTTAACCGCTGTCTCATTTAGCAGCAGAAATTTTGGGCTCAGTCATAAGTCGAGGACTACCTGTACTCCAAGTGTGGTCTTACTAAAGCTTTGCAAAGTGGTACTAACACTTCGCGTGATCTTGATCCTATCCGTCCGTTAACGCAGCCTGGAACTCCAGACATACTACATGCTTGTGGACTAATTCCCACGTTTAATGTGGGCATTATTATTATTATTATTATTATTATTATTATTATTATTATTATTATTCCCTCCTCATTCCTTCCGCCCCAGCTGGGGTGCTCAGTCCCTAATTGGTTGTTATAAAAATAAAAGATTGGTTGTATAAAAATAAAAGATTGGATATATATAAGTATTAACCGAACGGTAATTATTAGCTAAGATGCTGTTTATGTTTGGAGATTACTCTTGGTGGGTGATTTTCAAACAGCTTCAAGTTCTTACACATTTGAGAAACTCTAATTACAGCGGTGGCACCAATCTTTAATCTACTTCTAGCTTTAAATCACCGCTCTGAGCACTTAGTTTCTTATCTAAAGAGTGGGGTATATCATCTACGTGATATACGATGTTTTGTGTAGGAGCCGAGGCTGAGACAGAATAGTTTATTTGAGATCAGAATTAAAATCAGAATTCGAAGCCGCCTGGCCTCTGCAACCCCGACGTTTGATCCAAGGAAGTAACCTCTTTGTAGGGACTCGCTGCTTGCTTTACGCCGACACATTCTGTTTTATACCAAAGTCAGACAGATAACCCATCGTTATCAACGGAGGGGCCCTTGAAAGACCACCCAGAAGCTTCAACTAATCCAGCATACAATGGCACAAGCAACGATAGGCATGCCTCAATAAGCCTCCGTAAGATCGTTGTCCTGTTCATTGCTTCGTTTCTACGTGCGATTTAAGGTGTTGGTTGTCACCTATAAAGCCTTACATGGCAGAGGCCTGCTTATTGAGGGACTGCCTGCCCCCATAACATCTGATTTAATCCCGCAGAGTTAGCCCTACAAGTTCCTTGGATTAAACAATGCCATGCCTGCCCCAAAGGTGCTTTTTTCAAGAGGCAACTGGACTTTCTTGGTTTTTGCTTAAAGACGTTTCGCTTCTCATCCAAGGAGCTTCTTTGGTTTCTGACCGAATGGTGGAGAACAGAAGGGTTTAGTATATTCCTTGCACTCATCTGGTCATTAGCACTCAGTGGACCAGAGGATTGCGAGGAATATACTACATCCCTCCGTTCTCTACCATTCAGTCAGAACTGAAGAAGCTTCTTGGATGAGAAGTGATACGTTTTCAAAGAAACCCCCCCCCCCCCCCAAGAAATTCCAGTTGCCTTTTAGAAAAGCACCTTTGGGACAACCACAATTTGGTTGATCGGGAATCTCCACAGACTTTACTTTTTATGTTATATTGTGTGGCGGAATCGCTGGCTAAAGGAGAGAAGGGAGCAAAGAGATGTGCCAAAATGGAGTCGCTCTGTGAGAGGAATGGCATAAGGCAGACCAGGGAAGCCCTTATCTGCCTGTTCCCAAGAGAACGTAGAGAATGGTGAGATTCTTGTAAAAGAAGTGATCGACAATAAAGAAATTATTTTGGCCTATTCACTGAGTTGTTCTGGTTCCCTGTGGCTGACATATTGATTTTACTGAAACTGCGAGATGCCCAGAGTCATTGAGAGTTTGGGTGGTGAACCAGTTTAAAAATCATCATCATCATCATCATCATCCTATTAGCATGAGAAACTCATGTGTTAAGATATTTAATAGCTGGAACAATAAAGGGTACAATGGGCCAAAACACACTATCGCAATTGATTGGTTGGAGAGTGCAGGCTCCTTCCTGAGGCAATCTATGTTATGATTGGTTGCAGGGAGGCACATCACTCCGTCATGAGGTAAATTGTGAGGTAAATCACAGAACAGCCTACAGAGCACACATAAGAAAAAAGGCGGGAAAAAAGGGAGAGTTTCCCTTTTTCCCTGCCTGTTTTCTTCTGTGTGCCCTGTAGGTTGTTCTGTGATTTACCTCACAATTTACCTCATGACGGAGTGATGTGACTGAGTCTCTTGTCTGCTGTTAATATGAATGTTAAATATATTTATCTGTATAATTACAAGTTCGTGTCAGCGTCTCTGACTCCATTTGGACACCTGCTGCGCAATTCCCTGACATTATATCTCCCTGCCCCAAGTCAGAGAGACCCGGGATTTATTCATTCATCCTGGTTTAAATGCCACCAGGGCCCAGAATTTCTCCCACTTACCTGACGTTGCTTTGCACATGGGAGGCATCCTGGTTACCTTACTGTGCGCCACGAAGGTGCTTTGAGAGGAGCTACTGTACTGGGAGCTGCTATCCGACGAAGTGGAGCTTGTGTGCGACAACCGGCTATGGTCTTTGTGGGTGGCCGTGGACCGCTGGTACCATAGTCTGAGTTCATCCGAGACCCCAGCCCTCCCCGATCCCTTTTCGTGGCCGTCTCTCCCCAACGAAGGAGTCCTTATGATCTGAGACCGGGAAGGAGTCAACCGGATGGAGTCCACTTCATCTCCGTGCCAGTTTTCCTTAAACATGCCCCCCGCTGTGTACGAATTGGACGTTTTAAACTGTGCTTTCACGCTGTAGTGTCCCTCCTGGTCGTTTTCGAGGCTGCGCACCACCACTGGCGTCGAGCTCCCTTCGATGTACAGCGGGTACTCTTTGATCCTGTACTGGGAGGAAGGCTGGCTTTGGCTGTGCAGATAGACACCATGATGGCTGTTCCCGTTCCCGGCAGCCAGGTTGGGCATGCTTCCCGAATTGGAGCAGACGAGGTTTCCGGCTGACTTGTGCCGCTGTCTCTGGCGCTCGCGAGCTTTGGAAGGTGAGTCCTCCGCCAGGGTAGAGTAATTCGCATTCATCTGAGCTGGGTAATAATGCTCGGAGCTGGAGTGGCTCGTACAGGAGGAGCAGTCGTCCATGGGGTCTGACCCATTACTGCTACGAGTCCTTGGGGTGTAGAAGTCAGGGCTCCCCGTCTCGTTTTCCGAGCCGAGAAGCTTTCCTTGTGACTCTAAACTAGAACTCCGGTGTCTAAAGTGCTGGACTAAACAATGCAGTCTGGTAGGGCTGATGTCCACCGATCTGTAAAGGCCAGAGAAATAGAAAGAAGGAAAATGAATTAAGACTTTAAACATCACTACAGAGAGAAATCTCTCGCTGGAAAGCAATAGCACTTATATACCACTTCACAGCCCTCTCTAAGAGGTTTACAGATTCAGCATAATTGCTGCCAACAATCCTCATTTTATGGACCTTGGAAGGATGGAAGGCTGGGTCAACCTTGAGCCCCTCAGGATCGAACTCCTAGCAGTGGGCAGAGTTACCTTGCAATACTGCATTCTAACCACTGCACCACCAAGAAGGAGATTGAGAAAGGGAATAAGAGGAAGGAAGGAAGGAAGGAAGGAAGGAAGGAAGGAAGGAAGGAAGGAAGGAAGGAAGGAAGGAATAGCATTTATATACCGTTTCATGGTGCTTTACAGCCTTCTCTAAGTGGTTTAGAGTCAGCCTATTGCCCTCAACAATCCTCATTTTATGGACCTTGGAAGGATGGAAGGCTGAGTCAACCTTGAGCCCATCAGGATCGAACTCCTAGCGTGGGCAGAGTTACCTTGCAATACTGGACTCTAACCACTGCACCACCAAGAAGGAGATTGAGAAAGGGAATAAGAGGAAGAAGGAAGGAAAAAAGGAAGGAAGGAAGGAAGGAAGGAAGGAAGGAAGGAAGGAAGGAAGGAAGGAGCGCTTATATACCATTTCATGGTGCTTTACAGCCCTCTCTAAGCCGTTTAGTGTCAGCCTATTGCCCCTAACAATCCTCATTTTATGGACCTTGGCAGGATGGAAGGCTGAGTCAACCTTGAGCTTGTCAGGATCGAACTGCCGGCAATGGGCAGAATTAGTCTGCAATGCTGCATTCTAACCACTGCGCCACCACGGCTCTGGATGGAAGCAGCCCATGCTGATCTCAAAACATTTCAAGTACGACTTCTCTTCCCCGTTTCTATGAACCTGGATTAAAAGATTTTATGCCGGGAGACCAGCAGAAGAAAGAGGAAAAGGACTCACCTGGTGGAATGGACATAATGGGGACTGCGTACACGTAGATCCGGTGTCGATGGCATGCTGGATTGGGTGTTCCAATGGGGAAGATTCCTCACTGGGCTGTTCTGAAGAGAGTTGCTTCCTCCGCCTTCCACACAACTTCCGGTGCTGGGAAACCGCTTGTGACTAATGCAGACAAAAGACAACGAAGAATTCAAAACATGCTCTTTATTTTACACATGTCGCTCAACCATCAGGTAAAGGTAAAGGTTCCCCTCACACATATGTGCTAGTCATCCTGACTCTAGGGGGGCGATGCTCATCTCCATTTCAAAGCCGAAGAGCCAGCGCTGTCCGAAGACGTCTCCGTGGTCATGTGGCCGGCATGACTCAACGCCAAAGGCGCACGGAACGCTGTTCCCTCCCCACCAAAGGTGGTCCCTATTTTTCTACTGGCATTTTTTACATGCTTTCGAACTGCTAGGTTGGCAGAAGCTGAGACAAGTCACAGGAGCTCACCCCGTGACGCGGCACTAGGGATTTGAACCGCTGAACTGCCGACCTTTCGATCAACAAGCTCAATATCTTAGCCGCTGAGCCACTGCGTCCCTCAGGTAGATAGTAGCAAAATTTGGATTTTCCAGGTATTATCCCAACAGCTGTTAGAAGAGTTTTCTGCCATATAACTCCCTCCAAATGTCTTGTGATGAGAAATTCTCGATCATCCAAGGTTTACTAGGCTGGGACAGTCAAATGAAAGGAATATGGCCAGCTAAGTAGTTGGACGGAGAAAGGGAACATCATCACGTAGAGCAGATTGGTACCTTAGAATAAATTGCCTCCAGAAGTTGTGAATGCTCCAACACTGGAAGTTTTTACAAGAGATTGGACAACCATTTGTCTGAAATGGTGTAGGGTTTCCTGCCTAAACAGGGGGTTGGACTAGAAGACCTCCAAGATCCCTTCCAACACTCCTCTCCTCTCCTCTCCTCTCCTCTCCTCTCCTCTCCTCTCCTCTCCTCTCCTCTCCCCTCCCCTCCCCTCTTGTTTAGCCTCCATATCTCTTATCATCTTTAGTTGCTTTTTCTACACTCTTTCTAGTGATACAGAAAATACGGATTCTGTAATTTAAAAACAGGTAGTAAAAGAAATAATTGGTCTGTGTACACCTCTCGTTTCTTCTCCCTTCCAACTGATTGTCATACATGCGCACCCATGGATGCATGTGCAAACCCACACACATATACATATTTGCAGGCACGTATACACAGGGACACATCTGGGTGTATTAGCTGCTGAATGCTACATGTCCTTGCTTATTAATATTTTTTTGTCTAGTTTAATGAAAAGAAGGACTAGGGGAGATATGATAGCAGTCTTCCAGTATTTGAGGGGCTGCCCCAAAGAAGAGGGAGTCAAGCTATTCTCCAAAGCACCTGAGGGTAGGAGAAGAAGCAATGGGTGGAAACTCATCAGGGAGAGAAGCAACCTAGAATTAAGGAGAAATTTCCTGACACTTAGAACAATTAATCAGTGGAACATCTTGCCTCCAGAAGTTGTAAATGCTCCAACACTGAAAGTTTTTAAGAAGAGATTAGATAACCATTTGTCTGAAATAGCATAGGATCTCCTGCTTGAGCAGGGGGTTGGACTAGAAGACCTCCAAGGTCCCTTGGAACTCTGATATTCTGAGAAATGTATGCAGAAGCTTTACAGAATGTCCGTCAGCACATTAATACATAATTTTATGCACCACCCTGGAATGTGCCGTCAAACCTTTGTTTCATTTCTACAAAAGGGCACTGTAAAGTCCTCCAATGACGGATGGAAGGTCCTCCTCTCCTGCTCTGGACTCACCTGGAGTGGCTGTGAGAAGAACGCTTCTTCACCTTCTCGTAGGGTTCATCCAAGGAAGACTCGCTCCACATCTTGGGCTTAATGGGGGACTTGTCGTAGTCATTCCTGTGATAGTGCATTTGCCGGAGACCCTCCAGAGACTGTGGAGGGGGAGGCCTGTTGTGCAAGGGCGGCCGAGGAGGGAGCCCTTTGTGAGGTGACTGTAAAGGGGATATTGTGCTGGTAACCGGGCAGTCTTCTGGAATGGAAGGAGAAGAAGAAAAAGGGTCAGGCATGAAGGACCAGGTCCACCCATGAAAGATCAATCAAACTGATTTTACTCCTAAAAGAGTAAATCTTCTCCACTAACAGTCAGCACCTAGTCAGAGTTAGACAACGGCCTACAGCACTCAAAGGGAATTGGGTTTACTTTGTTTGTGGCTACGTAAGGATTTTAGGCTGATGCCTCTCTTGACTCCACCCCCCCGTAGTTCTACCACCTCTTCTCTGACAAGAAGAGAACATTTTAAGCCCATCTGACGTTCATCCCAACTCTTTCGTTTAATGACTTGACTGCCATCAAGGCACCTTTTTTTCTTATCGAACGTCAACAAAGATATATTTAACGGTGTCAAAGGATCTTGATGCTCGTGGAAACAGACACCTTGCGCATAAATAAAAATACGGACGTCACGTGCCACCTTCTGGATGAACTAAAATACGGAAGTCGTCATTTTGGATAAAAAAAAGGAGACTCCCACCCAGGGGTGAAATCTACTTATCTTCCTTACCGGTTCAGAAGCTCACACGCCGTCATGTGTGCACGCACACCTTCTCATGCGCAAAACCTTCTGCGCATGTGCAGAAGGTAAAAAAAACATTACTTCTTGGTTAAAACCAGGAAGTAATGACACCCGGGCAGCGATCGCTACTGGATCGCCGAACCACAGGGAAAAATCGCTACTGGATCGGGCGGTCCGGTTCGATCCGGGAGCATTTCACCCCTGGTCCCACCCCAGTGACACCCAAATTAAAAGCTAAAAATCTTTTTGAAAAATGACATTGTGAGCATGACGATCAGCCACTTAAAGTAGATAGAAAAATTACTTGAAACACAGAGAGTTGTATATTTAAAACGAATCCAGCTCCAAGTAGCCCCCTTCCAAATATTTTCACGCTATCCCTAATACTAGAGAAGACAAAGTCCAATCATAATACTAATTTCGTTGTACGAGGTGCAATGACAATAAAGTAAACTAAAACTAAACTAAAACTCCTTACTAATTTCCCCCCCCCCCCGAGACAAAGTGCCCCCCAGATAGGAGATCTGCAGAAAAGCCCCTGCCTCACTTCCTATAACCCAACTCAAGATACAGATCATGCCAAAATGGGTGAGACAATTAGATCATTGGACCAAAATCATTTAGCCCTGCACTAATCATTTAGTATAGTGGTTGGAAATAAAGATTCCCTCTTTTATTCTTTTGGCGTATCGCTGCTTTAATTAATTTTTTTTTTGCAACGACAGCATTCTTATCAAACGCAAAAGATGATAAGACTCCGACATTTTCTTTACGTACCGTCTTCCAGAACAAGAGCATCCGAGAGGGAGCTATCTTCGCTGGCAATGTTTCCATCTAGGAAGCCAAGAGAAGAACCCGTCAACAAGGAAGTGGAATCGGCATTCATACCCCAAAAGTCAGATAATAAAAGATGTGCTATCTTTCTTCAGACCCATCCCATTAGCTGAAGGATGGGTAACGGGTGGGATTCAGCCGGTTTTGACCATTTTTGGCGAACCGGATACTAATTTTACATCTGGTTCGCTGAACTGGTAGTTGCAAGGACTGGCTGCACCTTACCACCCACCCTGCCCCGCCCCTGAGTCTCCACGCGGCCCATTTTGGATGCCAGGTAAGAGCAGGGCCTGCGCAGAGGCTCTGGGAGGGTAAAAAACGGGCCTCTTGGAAGTTCCAGAAGTCGGAGGCCGGGGGAAGCTGTTTTCGCCCTCCCGGAGGCTCAAGGAAAGCCTCCGGAGCCTGGGGAGGGTGACCCCCCCCCCCCGCCCTGGTGCAGGAGGCTGAGTAGGCCACACCCACCCAGTAACAGGGCAGAGAACTGGTTGCTAAAATTTTTGAAACACACCCCTGATGGATAACCTCTGGATGTTGCTGTACTATAACTCCCAACTGCCCTAGCAAGTCTTGCCGGCGCCCAGGGACTCTAGCGGTTGTAGGACAGCAAAGATGGAAGGCCAGCTATTTCTCCACGGTTTCTCCAGCGTCCTATTTCTCATCAGCAAATGTTTCCAGGAAATGCAGACAATAATTTGGCTACTGCCCCTAAACAATGAAATTCACTGACGATAAATAGCCACTGAGGGGCCTATTTATCATTCATTTGACCACCAGTAACCACTGACTTAGGTCCATTCGTTTAGCGACAGTTCGAACTTACAAGGCACTGAAAAAGCCTTCCGTACGACCAGTTCTTGCTCTTATGATCACTGCAGGGGATGCTGCCGTCAGATAATCAGAATTTGCATGCTTAGCGACCAGCATGGATTGATGATGGTTACAACATGACAAGAGTTATGGGGACATTATTTACAACCTTTCCAAGGGACCCTGTGAGGAGGAAAGTCCATGGAAGAACCCCTATTTGTTTAATAACCATGTGGTTCGCTTAAAAGACCCTGGCAAAAGGAGTTTTAGAAATCATTTAATGACCACATCGCTTAGCATCCCAATTGTGGTCATAAGTCAAGGACTCAGTGAATTTTTAACAGGTTTGTAAATCAGTGGCCCTTTTAACTGAGGATCTTAAAAACAAAATTTTGAACAGTCCAAAATGAAGAATATTTTAATCACCGGCATTTTGTGTGTGCCTTGTAATGCCAACTCCTCTTAGCTCATGTCATAATTACAACAATTCTTGGTGCAAATCTGGTTGAAAATGTTCTTCCACAGAAAACTTTCGTACCGAGGGATGTTTAAGCTCAGTGAAATCCCATTCATGGCCTTGTTTTTTCCTAGTCCCATTTTTTCTTTGGGGCTGCTTTTGTAAGATTGCACATCCACAAAAAATGCAGACTTGCAGGGGTAAAATCTACTTACCTTCTTTACCAGTTTGGGAGTGCCCGCGAGTGCAGACCCTCCGTGCACGCGCAAAACCTGCGCATACACAGAGGGTAAAGAACACATTACTTCCTGGTTAAAACCAGGAAGTAACAACACCCAAGCAGGTGGGCGGAGCCTTGCACCGCCATCGCTACCGGTTCTCCGAACCACATGCCACAATCGCTACCAGATCGCCCGATCCGGTCCGAACCGGGAGCATTTCACCCTTGCAGACTTGCAATCCGTAATTGCACCCGAGCCCTGTTTCCTATTGTCAGTTTCCTGAATTTAATACTGAAGTGGCTAGTTGCAGAGGGGTTGAAGAGGTGCTGGGCCATGAATATGAGATAGTCACCTGGTGGACTTCCATAACTCCTACTTTTGAGAATCTCCAGATAGGCGGTTCTCCATTATTTCTTCAAGGGTTCTACAAGACCCATGGAATCTACCAACCTCTTAAACCCCCCATCCCATCTAAAGAAAGTCTCAGGATGACACAGAAGGTCAACTGTCTTTACCATCTATGATCAGCGAAGCTCTTTGGGTTGGCTTCTTCCCAGATCTGATGCGGTACTCATTGATGGAGTTTTCAATCTCCTGAAGCTTCTTCAGCGCGTTCAGGTAGGAGGTCTTCCTCTGCTTCTTCAGCTTCTTGCTGACGTTGGGCTCGCTGGCCAGGCGTCGAGCAGCTTCCGTGATCTGGGACTGGATGGCAAATTCTCTTTCCAAGCGTTCCAGCTCAGCTTCCTGTCCAAGAGGAAAGAAGTTTCGATGGTCAATGGGTCTCAAGGTCTTCCATTGGGCTAATTTCACAGGATTGACATTGGATCAACAGAAGAAACAGGACTGTCCTCTATCAGAGAAGTTGAACTTCTATCATGTATCATATAAACTATGTCTAGTTTAATGGAAAGAAGGACTAGGGGAGACATGATAGCAGTGTTGCAATATCTCAGGGGCTGCCCCAAAGAAGAGGGAGTCAAGCTATTCTCCAAAGCACCTGACGGCAGGACAAGGAGCTTGGTTAGAAACTAACCAAGGAGAGAAGCAACCTAGAACTAAGGAGAAATTTCCTAACACTTAGAACAATTAATCAGTGGAACAACTTGCCTCCAGAAGTTGTGAATGCTCCAACACTGGAAGTTTTGAAGAAGATATTGGATAAGCATTTGTCTGAAATGGTAAAGGGTTTCCTGCCTAAGCAGAGGGTTGGACTAGAAGACCTCCAAGGTCCCTTCCAACTGTATTGTATTGTATTGTATTGTATTGTATTGTATTGTATTGTATTGCATTGCATTGCATTGTACTGTATTGTATTGTATTGCCTCTACTCTACTCTACTCTACTCTACTCTACTCTACTCTACTCTACTCTACTCTACTCTACTCTACTCTACTCTACTCTCCTTGGATAAAATAAAAATAAAAATAGGAAATTAGGGGAAGAAAAAAGAAAAGGGGAAAGATAATATGAGGTACAGGGGAAGAAAGAAAAAGGCATTGACTTCCGACTCTTTTTAGCACGGTACAAGATAACATTACATCTTCATTTTTTTTAACTTTTACCCAAATTCAAAGTCAACATTTCATTTCTTTTTTCATCACAAGCACAAAACCCGGAAGTTATATCCAAATAAAAAAACAAGTATATAGGGAAGTTGAACTTTCCAATGATGCCCGAGTTGACAATAATCACAACTGGTTGGTGGAAGGAGGTCTTATCTACATCACCAACCTCAGTGAAAAGTTGGGAAGCTACTTATGCGTCTTTGGTAAAATCCTGGTCAAAGAGGACTACCTGTTAGGGGTTGACCACTCTTACAATGGTAGTTCCAGATGTCCTCCCACGCCATCTTGAAATTATACTGAACCAACAAAAAATATGTGAAACCACCAAGAAACTGACAGCTACTAAAAGCCAAGTCTGCTTCTATCCAGAATAACAGAGTTGGAAGGGACCTTGGAGCTCTTCTAGTCCAACTTCTGCTCAAACAGGAGAACCTACACCCGTGATGGTGAACCTATGGCATGCGTGCCACAAGTGGCAACCAGAGCCATATCTGTGGGCACGTGAGCGTTGCCCTAGCTCAGCTCCAGCATGCCGGCCAGCTGATTTTTGGGTCTTCTCCACCCCCTTGGAGGCCCTCCGGAAATGGAATGTTTCCCAACTTCCAGTGGGACCAGAAGGCCTGGTTTTTTTTGCCCTCCCCAGGCTCCTAGAAAGGCTCTGGAAGAAGCAAAAAACGGACCTTCTGGCTCCACTGGAAAGGTTAGCCATCACTGCCCTACACCATTCCAGACTTAGACGCCTCTAGTGATGGAGCAACACAGCTTCCACCGGTTGACTGTTCTCGCTGTTAGGAAATTTCTCCTTAGTTCTAAGGTTGCTTCTCTCGTTGATTAGAGATGAGTGATTAGTGCTTCTCCCCTTGATTGGGAACGATTCCCTCATTCCCAATCACAGTGTGGGTTTTGGAAGCTTAGAAGCTTTGATGTGTCTTTGGCACATCAGTTTATACACGTGCAGGTGGACCTGGTTTGACTTCATCCTTCATCAGGGTAATAGGGCCGTCCTTGGCTCATCTCAAAAAAGCTCTTTTGATGTTTAGGACGACTCAGCACTATTTTAAGTCCGTAACTACAGCTCTTCCCTTGTTGCGATTGGCCAAAAGGCTATTCTTTGTGGGCGCTTAAAAGTTTCGCTTTGAAGATTTGATCATCTCTGTCAACAGCGAGTTGATTAAATGTGCATTTCCCACAATACATAAATGCTACAGCCCTGTTTTTCTCCTTCCCATCCACTCCCACACTTCTGCTCTCCCTCCCTCTTCCCAAAAAAAATCTCCCACGTCCACAGAAAGCAAAGGGCGAAAAGCATCGAAGGATGAAAAGCACCGCTCAAGCTTTATTTTTTTAAAAAAGTGCATTTGATCTTTGAACTGTAGATGAAGTTCCCACCCCAGTTCTAAGAGTCTGAAGCCTCTAAAGGGGCTTTAAAAAGCTTTACAACCTCTGCACGTTCCAAGCAAAGAAAAGGTTAAAAAACAAAATCATCAGCCTTATGCGATTTATTTATCTATCCATCCATCCATCCATCCATCCATCCATCCATCCATCCATATCTATCTATCTATCTATCTATCTATCTATCTATCCATCCATCCATCCGATATGGACTCTTAGTGTCAATAAATAGAGAGACGAAAGAAGGACAGAAAAAGACAGATGAGAGGATGACTGGATTTTTCCAGAGCCTGGTAGTAACCAAATATTTGGACATTCGTAACGCAGAGTGGGTCATTTACCTCTCCCTTGGGTAGCATTTTCTGTTCATCCAGTTTAAAAGAAGTACCAATTCTTCTTCTCACAATTGGGGGCTCCTCCCCCGGGTTGAGGGGATACTCCCTCGGCAATTTTCCAGTAAGTTCCTGAAATCACACAGCAAAGCCAGGAGTTAATTAGCAGGGATCTTTGGGGATCCTGCCTCAAATGGACATTAACAAGCTCAACAACGTTCAATCCATGCCGGGCCCAGGACCCTTCAGGAATCCACCGATGTATCTGTGAACGAGGGAGAAGAATATGGTGGTAAGCTTCCCCCCCAAATCCAAGGTACTGCAGTCATTCCTAGGGTGGGCTGGGGGGCCAAGATAGAGGGAATAACTGAATGATCAAAGACCTACCCCCTTGTGCTTGACTCAAACTCCCAATTTAAAGGCCCAACTGAAATAAACTCTAATTGTACATCTTTCTTTTTCTTTCTTTCTTTCTTTCTTCCTTTCTTTTTCTTTCTCTCTCTCCTTCCTTTTCTTTTTCTTTCTTTCTTTCTCTCTCTCTCTTTCTCTCTCTCCTTCCTTCCTTCCTTCTTTTTCTTTCCTTCTCTTTCTTTCTCTCTCACACTCTCTCCTTTCTTTCTCTCTCTTCCTTCCTTCTCTCTCTCTCTTTCTTTCTTTCTCTCTCTCTCTCCTTTCTTTCTCTCTCATTCCTTCCTTCCTTCCCCATCTCGAGGTGGTGACACTTTGAGAGCTGTATGCAACGAAATTTCATTTTAATGTGTGCCGATTATAGTGTACATTTAAAGTGACAATAAAGTTATTCTAAATTCTTCTAAGCCTAGGTCTCTCTCTTTCTCTCTCATATCTATCTACCCTCTATCTATCTCATATCTATCTATCTATCTATCTATCTATCTATCTATCTATCTATCTATCTATCTATCTGTTTGTCTGTCTATCAAATTTATATGGTTTCATTTAACTCTAGCTCTCCCACTCTTGACTCACTCTTGGTCTAAATCAATTGTTTGCAGCCCCAGAAGTGATGGTTGATATGTATATACCTCTATAAGTTTGCTTTATACTTTAAAAATAATTTATATCCTCTTGAGCATTTTTGTGGTAAATAAAACAATCGCTTCATCAATTTGCCTGCCACGTGCTCTTTTATTCAGTGTAAAACAATTGGCTTTAGGTCTGATTTGATCAAGTGCTAAATTCCAAATTATGTTGGCACAGGGTGAGGTTGGGCAGGACCAGAAGCAAAGGGCCGAAGACCAGGCTGACATGTTAGGAGAACAATACAGAGGTGCCAACCAGAAATGAATCATTTAGTAGGGTGCCAAGCTGGGGAACAGAAAGAGGACCAAATAAAATCAATCAGAATAGAGCTGGAAGGGGCTTTAGAGGTTCTCTAGTCCAACCTGCACGTCAAGCACAAGACCCTACACCATTTCAGACAGGTGGCTGCCCAGTCTCTTCTTAAAAACCTCCAGTGTTGGAGCACCCTCAACTTCTGGTGGCAGGCTGTTCCACTGGTGAATTGTCCTCACTGTTAGGAAGTTTCTCCTTAATTCCAGGTTGCTTCTCTCCTTGATTAGTTTCCATCCGTTGTTTCTTATCTTGACTTCTGGTGCTTTGGAAAATAAGTGGACCCCCTCCTCTTCTTTGTGGCAGCCCCTCAAATACCAGAACACTGCTGTCATGTGTCCCCTCCCCCCCAATCCTTCTCTCCATTAATCTGTCAGTTTAAAACAGTTGACATCGCCCTCAAAACCAAATCCATTTTTCCTCCCCATTGTGGGTCTATATTTACACTTTTTTCTACGCGACGATCGTTGAAGTGAAGAGAAAACCTTCCTTGGAGGTCTTAAAATTCACAAGCTCTTTTCACGTTCCGATTTCAGAAAGACGCATCCGAGATTATTGGCTGCGAGTAAATTAATTCATCTTGAACTTGGCTTTTGTGTGTGTTTGCAAGGACTCTGCGACAGGCTCCGTCTTTAGAGAGGAGCGAAACAATGAATGGCTTGTTAGCATCCGGGCTCCTGTAATTTAAGCAGAGCCGCTAAAGAACCGAAGCCTGCAGAAACCCGATGCTTGGCTGTTGCAAATAGTCGGGGGTCCAGACTTAATTGCCCCCTCCTGAGCCAGCGATTCCCACAGGAAAATCGACGTCTTCGGAGTGATGGATGGCCAAGTAACAAGAGAAGTTGAGAGTGGACGATTAACTTACTTATGTGCGAGGAGGGCTGTTTTAAACAAAAAAGTTAAGGCATCCCCTTCGGGTGACCTCTGCTGACCTCTCACCCTTCCCCCCTCACACTGTCACACTCTCCAACTCAAGGAGGATTTAAGAAAAGAAAGAAAGAAAGGAAGAAAGAAAGAGAGAAAGAAAGAAAGGGAGGGGGGAGAGAGAGAAAGAGGGAGGGAGGGAGGGAGAAGAAAGAAAGAAAGAAAGAAAGAAAGAGAAAAAGAAAGGGAGGGGGAGAGAGAAAGGGAGGGAGAAAGAAAGAAGAAAGAAAGGGGGAGAGAGAAAGGGAGGGAGGGAGGGAGAAAAAAGAAAGAAAGAAAAAGAAAGGGAGGGGGAGAGAGAAAGGGAGGGAGAAAGAAAGAAAGAAAGAAAGGGGAGAGAGAAAGGGAGGGAGGGAGGGAAAAAAAGAAAGAAAGAAAGGGGAGAGAGAAAGGGAGGGAGGGAGGGAGAAAAAAGAAAGAAAGAAAGAGAAAGAAAGAGGGAGGGAGGGAGGGGGAGAGAGACAGAGGGGGGGAGGGAGGGAGAAAAAAGAAAGAAAAAAGAAAAGAAAGAAAGAAAGGGAAAGAAAGAAAGAAAAAGAAAGAAAGAAAGGGCCCTGTGAGGTTGAACCGGTGAAGCATTTCTGCTGACTTCCTCGTTTTTGTTTTTGTTTTTATTTCCATCTGTTCTTTTGCTTAGGGTTAGAAAGGATTTAGGGAAAAAAAAAACAATGGAAAGATCCTGTTTTTGGATAGTGTTGTGTTTAAAGGTGCAACGAACGTCACACTGCACTGCTCCAGGTATAGAATTTCAGCCTCTGAGAAATGTCCAAGCTTCTTTGAAAGAGAGAATGCCTTGGTGGCGCAGCAGACTAAAGTGCTGTTAAGTAACACCAGCTGTCTGCAATTACTGTAAGTTCGAATCTCCCCAGGCTCAAGGTTGACTCAGCCTTCCATCCTTTCTAAGGTAGGTAAATTGAGGACCCAGATTGTGGGGGCAATAAGCTGACTTTGTATAAAATATATACAAAAGTATGAAGGCTATTGCTTAACGCATCGTAAGCCGCCCTGATTCTCCGGAGAAGGGCGGCATATAAATCGAACCAATAAATAAATAAATAAATGCAGCTAGTTCTTGACTTATAATAGTTCATTATAATAGTGACTGTCTGAAGTTACAACGGCACTGAAAAAAAGCGACTTACGACCGTTTTTCACACTTACAACCTTTGCAGCATCCCCCGGGGTCACACGATCAAAAATTCAACTGGCTTGGACTTTTGACAGTTGCAGTGCCCCGGAAGTCATGCAATCCCCTTTTTGCGACCTTCTGACACTTCCGATTCACTTAACAACCAGGTTATTAACTTAATGAATGGCAATTTGCTTAACATCGGCAGCAAGAAAGGTCGTAAAACGGGGCCAAACTCACTTAATAACCGTCTGGCTTAGCAACAGAATTTTTGGGCTCAAATTGTGGTCGTAAGTCGAGGACTACGTGTATAATCACTCATGGAAAATATATGCTTCTCTATCCGTGGAAATCTCAGAAGGAACAGAAACCGAACAAGATTTTCAGGAATCGTGAGCTGGCTGATCTTTGCTGAGATCAATTATTTAAAGAGAAAAATTATGCAAGATGAGACAAATAGATTTCGTGTTCATAACGTAGACAACTTGCTGAGTTTCATACTAAAAGCAAAATTTAAATGGTCCGGACGATCCTTTAAAATAAATATATAAACAACCTTTTTAATTACGTTGGCCTGCAAGCGTAATGAAATTTAATGACTGCAACTTAGTGAAATGCATATTTAATTAAGGATCATCTAACTGTTTTTCCATGCGTCGTCGGTCCAACCAGTTTTCCTTTCTGTTTTAACTCGAGCATTTGCTCACCTGTCGGTCCCTTAAGGAGAAAAGTGGGGTATAAACCAGATAAATAAACAAATGTTCACACTCATCTGCAGCCAGCTAATAAAACTGGATCCATTTCAATTAAATCCAGGCCTGCAGTATATTAAGAGCCAAACCTGGCCTTTGGCCTCCCTATTTATAGGAGACGAACCGGACTGAGCCCATGGGTGGGGTCAAAAGCTTCATTTCCCACACTATTTTTTTAATTGCCTATTTTAACTCAACACGCAAGGGATTCCCGAGTTGATTCATTCTTCTATCTTCTGGAGAGGAAGGGATGATTTATGTTATTTTATTCAAATGATTTAATAAGAGCAACAGAGGGAATTCAGATAGGATATCCACATCCTCTGAAAGGATTATGTTAGGCACAATTAGCCTTGCCGCCTTAAGGGTAGGATTAGAAGCATCTCGGTTGCCCTCAACTTTCCAAATAGAAGAAATGGATGGAAAGTGATGGGAGTTAGCAAAATTGTCTGCTTCAATTAGAGAAAAGAACTCATCCGGATTTGCTTCTACTTGGAAACCGCTTCTGGACTTTGTGCTTGAGACAGGGGGGAAAAAAACCAACATTTGAGTTTTGCTGATTCGTACAGTTGGTTGTTCTGGAAATGGCTAGTATTTGTTAAAGTGGTGAAGTTAAAAAAATGAGGTTGTAATTTTATTCTGTAGTTACTATGCTGAAAAAGGTTGGGCCTTTCCTTTCTTTTCCTTTCCTTTCCTTTCCTTTCCCTTCCCTTCCCGCCCTTCCCTTCTGCCTTTCTTTCTACCTTCCCTTCCCTTCTTCCTTCCCTTCCCTCCTTTCCTTTCCTCTTCTTTCCTTTCCTTTCCTTTCCCTTCCCTCCCTTCCCTTCTGCCTTCCTTTCTACCTTCCCTTCCCTTCATTTCTTCCCTTCTTCCTTTCCTTTCCTTCCCCTTCCCTCCCCTTCTGCCTTCCTTTCTACCTTCCCTTCCCTTCTTCCTTCCCTTCCCTTCTTTCCTTTCCTTTCCTTTCCCTTCCCTTCCTCTCTCCCTCGACTTTTTCCTTTCCTTTCCCTTCCCCCTGTACCTACGCCTCTCTTCCCCTTCCCTATTTTCCTGTCATCCTTATTTTCATAATTTGATAATTTTTAATAAAAAGTCTTTGAAAGGAAGCATCTCTGCTGCCTACCGCTTCCCGGAGACACAGCTTCTTCAGTTCCTCCAGGCGTTGGCGCAGCGTCTCCTCCAGGGCTTCTTGTCTGGATTTTAAGGCGGCCAGCATGTCTTTCTTGGCAGACTGAGAACTGTCGGACTCTTGAGAACCTGTTGGGGAAACAACGAAGGCGTTAAGGCAGCTGAACCTCCTCTGCAGCCAGGCGGGTGGCTTCTGGACGAGAAGCGGGACAACCAAACCGGACAGGTTTGGACCTGGACTCGTTTGAGCTGTGATGCTGGAGAAGGCTCCCGCGTCTTCTTTGGACAGCAAAGGTGACCGGCAAGCAAGCATTGGAGCGTATAACACCAGACATGCCACTGGGAGGCAAAAATCACAAAAGTCTCCCTTACTTTGGCCAAGTCGTACAAGGGAATCCACTGGAGAAAGCAATTGTGCTTGGAAGAGCAATAAAAGGAAACCAGGCCAGAAGTGGCTGAACACCATCAAAACCGACAACATAGAACAACTCAAAGAAGTAGTGCAAGATCAGAAGATGAGGAGAGACCTGGCCAACAGAATTGCCCGGATTCGGAACAACTGAATGGATTAACATCATGGTCAGTTGCCCAAGTTCATCACCCGATCATTGTAAGTGGATGACTAGGAGAAGATATTCTCAGGCACCAAGGTTAGGAGCCTTGGTAGTACAGTGGTCTAAAGCACCCTGTTATTAAGACCAGCTGCCTGCAATTACTGCAGGTTCGAATCTCTCCAAGGCTCAAGGTTGACTCAGCCTTCCATCCTTTCTAAGGTAGGTAAATTGAGGACCCAATTTGTGGGGGCAATAAGCTGACTTTGTATAAATATACGAAAGGATGAAGGCTATTGCTTAGTGCATTGTAAGCCGCCGTGAGTCTCCGGAGAAGGGCGGCATGTAAATCAAATTAAAAATAAAATAAAATAAAATAAACGAGGCTGGATTGTGCAAGATCAGACATGTGCAAGCTACAGATTTATCTTGGGTCACAAACACTCCTAAAGCAGGCCAACCATCACAATCTACTTCTCTACAACTTGTCATTAGCAACTTTGGGTAAGCGGCATTAGAAGTTTGCAGCTGCATCTCATATAAGTACTTTAGCATTGTGCATTGAATTGGGTATGCCCAGTCTAGAGAAAAGAAGACCTAGGGGTGATGTGATAGCAGTCTTCCAGTATTTGAGGGGCTGCCACAAAAAAGAGGGGGTCAAATTATTATCCAAAGCACCAGAAGGCAGGACAAGAAACAATGGATGGAAACTCATCAAGGAGAGAAGCAACCTGGAATAAGGAGAAACTTCCTAACAGTGAGAACAAATAACCAGTGGAAGAGCCACCAGAAGTTGTGAGTGCTCCCTCACTGGAGGAGTTTAAGAAGAGACTGGACAACCAGTGGTATAAGATCTCCTGCTGGAGCAAAGGGTTGGACTAGATGACCTCCAAGGTCCCTTCCAGGTCTGTTCTGATTGATTGGTCAAAAGCGTCCATGTCTCTTGACTCAAATTGGGTTTACAGCAGCAATCTATCGCACACCCCACTGCGATAACCGAAACAGACCTTGTATGTAAGTTGCCCTTCCATGATTAGGGACATGGAGTTAGGAGGAATCTTCTCGTTGGGATGTGGTGCCCATGGAAAACCGCCTGGCACCTTCAAGCATTCGCACAACAGGAATGTGAGAATCCTGAGGGAGGCTAGATGTGCATTCCCCGACATGAAAACATTTTGTATTTTATGTTTTCTGAGTTGTGCAGGACAGGATTGAAGCAAACATAGGAACATTCCACTTTGAGATAGCAATGCTTCCGGCAAGCTCAAAATAGGAAACAGGAAAACCGGAAGCCCATCAGCAGCCGTTCAGGAAGGTCAGAATTCAGCAAGATGGAGTTGTGATCCTTTGACATCAAAATGTTTTGCAACTCTCTGCCAAACTGACATCAGCAAGAGGAAGTTGACCGGGCTGGTGGCTTCAGCTCTTAAATATACTTCTTTGCTAGTCTCTTACTCACAGCCTCTTCACTTTCCCACTCCATGTTCAGAAGTTATTAATTGTGGTCTGTTGGACTCCCTTAGGGTTCCCCAACAGAAGGATTTTAAATTAAAACATCCACACCAGTTGACCAAGGGCTTAATGATATTGTAATACTGAAGGGGTGGCATCTTTTTGTCGTGCAAAGGTGCATTAGGAGTGTGATAGCACAAGTGGACTCACGCAAAAAAACCCGATGAGCAGTTGATATTTGATCTGTCAGTTCATTCTCTAAAGTAAACTATTTTTAACTCTTGGCAACTTTAAGATGAATGGATTTCAATTCCCAGAATTCCCCAGCTAGCCGTGCTGCCTGGGGAATTCTGGGAATTGAAGTTCCACACATCTTAAAGTTACCAAGGTTGAGGAACGTTGTTTTAAATTCCCTACAGCTCCCTCCCCCAATCACATCAATTTTTAGACATCTGAGTGCATTCCTGAATAAATCTGAGCCCTCGCTGTCTGCCATTTTTAATTTTTTTTTAGCACAAGTTAGATAGAAAACATATTCCTTTCATGCTGAAAACAGATGATGGTTCTTAATAGCAACATGATTTGTAAAATGACAACTTTCCAAGAACCTGAAAGAAATAAATGAAACTCAAACAGGACAAGACTGGCGGTCAAACCTTCTGTTCATATGCTGCTATAAAATACACAGAATAATCTATGTATTTGTGCTAATAGTCTTGATTTATTGGAAGGCATCACTTATCAACTGGTTTGTAGGCCATCATATGAAGACCAGGAATCTTAGATATAGATATACCATAGATAGATAGATAGATAGATAGATAGATAGATAGATAGATAGATAGATAGATAGATGATAGATAAGATAGATAAAGATAGATGGATGGATGGATGGATGGATGGATAGATAGATAGATAGATGATAGATAGATAGATAGATAGATAGATAGATAGATAGATAATAGTAGGTAGGTATTCAGCAGGTTCTGACCAGTTCTGGAGAGCCAGTAGCAGAAATTTTGAGTAGTTCGGAGAACCGGTAGATACTACCTCTGCTGGCCCTGCCCCCATCTATTCTCTGCCTCCTGAGTCCCAGCTGATTGGGAAGAAATGGGGATTTTGCAGTAACCTTCCCCTGGAGTGGGGAGGGAATGGAGATTTTACAGTATCCTTCACCTGCCACGCCCAGAGAACCGGTAGTAAAAATTTTTGAATCCCACCACTGGGTAGGTGGATGGATGGATGGATGGATAGATAGATGATAGGTAGGTAGGTAGGTTGATGGATGGATGGATAGGTAGGTAAATAGATGATCAGCATGGATGAATGGATGGATAGGTAGATGATAGGTAGGTAGGTGGATAGATAGATAGATAGATAGATAGATAGATAGATAGATAGATAGATAGATTTCAAGGGGAGGAATATTTGAAATATATAGTTCATTTTTTTGCTTAAAGAAAACTGATGTTTATATTCCCTGCAAACTTTCTTAAAACGGAGAGGCTTTTTTGCCACTCATTCTGCCATCAGCCAATCCCTAATTTGACTGTAGATGTTTACTCAGCCCCCGTCCTCGCAAGAGCGAAGGGCTCCTGAAGAAAGAATACCAGATAGGACGAGAGGTTTGAAGGGCAGATGAAAGAAACATGTCTCCGGGGAAGTGGACAGAACAATAGCCCAGAAAGAAGGAAAATATCCCAGCATCAGCCAGATGACATCACTAGAGTCCAGATGTGCAACCTACCGTGGCCTCTTTAATGGAGTTGCTATTTAAAGATGCGTTTTGTACACATCTCACACCACGCACAATTAATGCAGCAATCCAGGTGCATCCCTTGCAGGATTCCAGCTGACCAAAATCTAACAAGAGTTGGACAGCACCTTGGAGGTCTTCCAGTCCAACCCCCTGCTGAAGCAAGAGACCCTATAGCCGTGATGGTGAACCTGTGGCACGCAGAGCCATATCTGTGGGCACACGAGCATTGCTCCAGCGCGCCGGCCAGCTGATTTTTGGGTCTTCTGGGCCCACCAGAAGTCAGGAAATGGGCTGTTTCTGGCCTCTGGAAGGCCTCCGGGGTGTGCATGGAGAAGGCTATTTTAACCCTCCCCAGGCTCCAAGAAAGCCTCTAGAGCCTGGGTAGGGCGAAAAATGGGACTACTGAGCTCACCGTGACAAAAGCGTGGGGAGCATAGAGCATGCGCGGGGCGGGCAGGGGGCACTGAATTATGGGTGTGGGCGTGCATGCGTGTGACCCCCCCGGATTCCCCCCGCTTTTGGCACGCGACGGCAAAAAGGTTAGCCACCACTGCCCTATACTATTTCAGACAAATAGTTGTCCAATCTCTTCTTAAAAACCTCCAGTGTTGGAGCATTCACAACTTCAGGTTGTTCCACTGATTAATTGTTCTGCCTGTCAGGAAATTTCTCCTTAGTTCCAGGTTGCTTCTCTCCTTGATGAGTTTCCACCCATTGCTTCTTGTCCTGCCCTCAGGTGCTTTGGAGAATAGCTTGACTCCCTCTTCTTTGGGGCAGCCCCTGAGATATTGGAACGCTGCTATCATGTCTCTCCAAGTCCTTCTTTTCATCAAACTAGACATACCCAGTTCCTGCAACCGTTCTTCATATGTTTTAGCCTCCAATCATCCCCTAATCCTCTTTGTTGCTCTTCTCGGCACTCTTTCTAGAGTCTCCACATCTTTTTTTTTTATATCGTGGTGACCAGAACTGGATGCAGTACTCTAGGTGTGGCCTTACCAAGGCTTTATAGAGTGGTACATCCATCTGGAAACCTTCATTGAGTTGCAGCCCAGGGACTGCTGGATGGTTTCTCTCTCTCTCTCTCTCTCTCTTTTTTTGCTTTAATTTATATGCCGCCCTTCTCCGGAGACTCAGGGCGGCTTACAATGCGTTAACCAATAGCCTTCATACTTTTGTATATTTATACAAAGTCAGCTTATTGCCCCCACAATCTGGGTCCTCATTTCACCTACCTTTGAAAGGATGGAAGGCTGAGTCAACCTTGAGCCTGGTGAGATTGGAACTTGCAGTAATTGCAAGCAGCGGATGTTAATAACAGTGCTTTAGTCCACTGTACTACAGGCTCTTGATTCACTGTCCCAGGA